TCGACTTTTATGAACAAATTCAAGTTTGGGCTTAACGCTTAAATCGGTTTGTTGTAGCTAGCGATGTTTAGGATTATTATGTCTTTTATTTATAATTTGCAAGGTATTTATCCAGAGTAAAAGGTTTTCTTTGAGTTGTGGCGATTGTACTATGTATACATGAGACTATCATGGGGTGCTAAATTACCATTTTTTTGAAGAAATGGCTCTAAATGTCGTTTTCTTTTCTTTGGTCCCTATTTCCCTCCCCAAAAAAATAAAAATCTTACTCGTATTACTTCACCTGTATTAAAAGATTTTCAACTGGGAGGATAATCATGGTAGAGAGTTGCCAAAATGGTGGCTGGCAAACTTCGTGGAAACGATATGGAGCATTTAAATAAGCTGCAGAAACTTTCCAAACTTTGTATATTCCTAACTGAACCTATCTAATAGCATCTGCACAAATTCCTCTCTTGTAGTGTCCCCCCTCACTATATTAATCCAATGCCTGAGAAAGGTTATTACGCCACTCACCTGTTGCCCATCTTGGTCCGCGGTTTCGTTAATTCCAACAGCGTCAACAAAATTAGGAAGGGGCCACTGATTTTGAAGTTGTGAAGGAAAAACCTGTTGATATGGTTGTCGTAACTCAATATTACTCATTAACTACTACTTACTTGAAAATGAAACCTTTTCCACTTAGATCTTCGTTGTCATCTACTGATGTATTTCCTGGTAACACAATTGGCCGCCCAACTTTCTCATGACTTGGCGTCATTGTTCCCACTACATTTTTACGTTAATTAGCGATTAGCAATCTTTCTATAATCAAATCAGAATGTAATTGCTCCATAAATCGCAAACATAAAAATGTGTGCTTGCAATAGATTGCATTCGTTCTAAAGTCAATACAAGTGCAACTAGCCCCTTTTAAACGATATATCATAACCACAAAATGCTGCTGTCCGTTATCAGCATCAACAACTTTAACAATCAGTTACATTCGTTCTATGGTGGCCCATTCGGCCTTCCTCCGTCTACTCGTCTCTTCTTGCGCCGTATTGGCCCTCTTCTTTACCTAGTTGCAATATCTCAAATATATTTGACTGTAGTTGATCTTGTTCCCAAAAGGATTTTTCTTTCGACAAATGATCTTGCTGCTGCAAATGATTAGCTACAACATCACGTGATTTGTGTGACATATGGAGAGATCAACGTTTAACATGCTACATGCAATTTTGCAGAACTAATCAATAGGTTATATTAGGATAAAGCTATTATTAGAAGATCTTTATCATATCTTTTAACCAAACAGAATTTATTTTTTTCAAAGTTGGCAAAATTTGCAGTTATTTCAATGAAATATAGAGTATGATGATTTGTAAATTGGTTGCAACAACTTTTAATGAATGTCTGAGCACTCTCTTCTTTCTACTCACAAACTCATTTGAGAAATAGTTCTCCAAACAGGTGTATTTTTGCATACATACGCAACCTTTCATAGCTCTGCTTGTTTTTAAAAATTGCTAGACCGGCTGGAAAGTGATTTACGGAGACAAAATCTAGGCTAGTAGGAGTAGCGAAGTACAAGAATTACCATAGATTAAAGCGTCATATGGATGAAGTTCTTACGCTTTCTCGCAAACTATGTAGTGCTTATATTGGTCCTTGTTGAAAAATTACATTTAAAATTTCATATTTCAGAGATAAAAAGTATGCTAAAGTCAAGAAAATACTGGTTTAAAAGTGGTATTTGGACACATTTTTTTTGGTCGCTTAAGATGATTTTATTATCTATTTTCTTTTGAATTATGTTGAAAAAAATTAGTCGTAACGGAACTTTTTTTAAACGTTTGGGCAGGACCAAAATGTTTTGTTAATTTCAAGCACTAATATTTATTGTAAAATCAAAGTCTTTCTTTTATTCTCTCTTAATCTATAAATCTGGAACTATATTTTTTGTGTGTTCCCAAAAACCAGAAAAACACGTAAGTTGTAAAATTTTAGGAAGGTCTTTTAAAATTCAATAAAATTAAGCGTATGCTCCAAATTCAAACTATCGAAATGAAACTAAGACCCACAGAGCGTTTCCCAAAAACTATAATTTTCATTTCTGATTCGATGATGAAAACTCTGTCAACTACTCTGAAGCATTTCTTTTATTCTTGATATCACTTACAGTGGCTAGGAAAGTAAAGTAAAGAATAAAAGGTCAAGAAACTAAAATGGAGTGTCGTAAAGTTTACATGTCGAAAATTTTGTCCCAAAAAGTATACATTTACGATCTCCAAATAGTATATTATCATACCAATATCAAATATCGTGATACCAGATAGCAACAGCAGAAGCGAACAAATCTCATAAACAAAGTCACGAAGTATGCTATGTTGTAGTTATTGAGAAATATTAGTGAACTGTACCAAATTTATTGTGATTTACATATTGATTAACTAACACACCATGTGAATATATATATATATACAAATAGTAGCATCGTTATTAATCATAATAACAGTGTTTGAATCTTATAAGAGCTTTATATAAAAACAACCTTAGGTGGTCAATATAGGAAACATGGAACAAATTGAGTTACATGTCGGGAACTTTGAAGATGAAGTGGCTAATTACTCAACTAGTACAAAGACTTAGGTTTCGGAAGTAGTATAAATAGTACAAGTTTGCTGTCACGGAAAGAACAAAGACTAAGTCATTGACAAAAATTATCTGAAGATTTAAATAGTTGTGGTAAGCGATAAAATTACTGTACTTAAGCCAAAATAGAGTCAGGCTTGTAATTTGATATCAACGCATCCCTGATTTTTTCGCCAAGGATGTTTCTTTTCTGACCTCCCCTATTGTATTGTCCAATTATATCTTTTTCTAAAACTAGTAAAACATACAACCCAAGGGGTTCACTAAGGGTTCTCTGAAGCTACATTGACTGGGCAATAAAATTAAATAAACTGCTGAACAAAATTGTGGCTTACTGAAATTAGCCAACGGTTTCGCTTCTAAATGTCACCTTGCCAATTCTCTCCGTAAATCGGACGTACATGCACGTACTATAAAACCTAACTTGGGTTCTAGAATGCTTTTTAAGCTTTTGGTGCCCCCCCACCAGCTTCTCCTCTAGACTTTCCCCCATCAAAAAAAATTAATTTAAAGGAAAATTTAATAAATGCAGTAAGGGTTATTTGGTAATATGATTACTATTATTCTTCTAAAATTTTCTTTTTGAAACTATTCAGCTCTGGTAAATTATTTCAAATCTCCTCCTTACCTGTATCGTAATTCTTGGGACGGAACTGTTTTCAAAAGAACGTGGTAATACCCGCAGTACAACTTGAGATGTGGTTTTTTAATTTGGGCGCTTAAACTAAAATTGATTACCCAATTTAAGTATAGTATACGCCAAGATTTTTTTTTGGCTTATGAAAAGTTTTTCTCTTGGTATAACAACCACAACGAATTTGAAACTATAACTTTAGAGCTTGCTTTGGATTTGCCATTGCTTTTGTGGTAAAGACTAAGAGAATCAGCGTTTGACATTCAAAATAAATTTTTTTCTTGAAGAGTTGACAACTTGTCATAATAGCTGTGCCTGCCAAGGGTACATCTCAAACAGGAAAATCTGGGAAATGCAAGGGTATATAAATCTGTCGTAAAACACAATAATTTCGCTTGTAGAGAAGAAGGGGTCATTGTTTATTCTCAAAAACAATCAGTTGTTCAGTTTCAATTTTTTCACTTTGTGCTTTTGTGTCGTCCAATTTATGTAATTATTGCAAGGAACAAACAATGATCTTTTAGATAATGATTTTCTTGTATTTTATTAGTTCTGCCAGTCTCTGATTGGATAAAACACCAAGCTCATGTCCATAAAACAATTATCTGATAGGATCAGCTGAGGCATTGTGTAATACTTGGTACTTTAAAATGATCTGCGTAATTTATGTTCCTATTGTTTAAACGGCTTCAAGGCGGTAGAAACCACAATGAAGCTCAACCAATGACAACCGAGCCCATTCATTGGGGTTGCTACAACAAGCCAAATTTGAAAACAACACCTTGCAACGGGAACCACAACTTACGAGACGAAAAGTGCCACTAAATCAACTTGCAATTAATTGAAGCTGCACAGACTCAGAGGTGCAATGCAAATGGATTTGGCTATAAATTGGCTTTGAAGTCCTTTGAAATGAAACTCCTAACGGAAAAGTTCTATTTGCTTGTTACAACAACTAGAATCACATTTTCAATCATGCACTTTTCAAGTTACTTTGCATGCTTTTTGCTTGGTTTCGTTTCTTTCACGAGTGCCAGCTTAGATCCTTATGAGAAGCTAGGCAAAAAGAGAATTTTCTATGCCTGCACTAACCAAATTGCGTCAGAGGTTTCATTTTGTTCACCTTTGGAAAGAGCTTGCCAATGTGAAAACAAAAACTATATGGCAACCATTGCTGGTTGTTTGAGAGAAGTTAATGAGGAATTGAACTTCACCATCCATTTCATGTTGCAAAATTGTGTCTACTACAATATTACTTTAACCGACGAATGGTATGACGATGCCATAAAGTTATATGACGAAAAGGCCAAATCTGCTAGTGAGATACCAAACTTTAACATGAGCATTCCAATTGACGTTCCATTCATAGTGAACAAGACCATGACAGGAGTGTTTCAAGAGGCATTCAAGAGATTTTACGACAATTACGATAACTCAGTCAACTATGGTGCTGGTATGTTAGGTTACTGGTTATTGGTGTTGATATTGAGTGCTATATTCAATTGGACAAAGATATTCTTTCCTAATGCCACAAAGAGGATGACAGGTCCCATCGTCAATTGGTGGAGGGAATACGTTTCCATGCCAGCAACTTTCAGAGTTAAGAAGCTGCAGGAACAAAGCTTTTTACGGTATTTTGGCTTCTTGATCCCCTCAAGACTTGAATCTTTGGTTATTTTTTTGTTTTATTGTGTCACTATATGGGTTCATGCAATGAACAGTAAGGCTATAGAAGGCGATCCAGTTTTTGGTTCCAAATATCAGGCTGAATTGAGATATGTTTCCGATAGAACTGGTATTACATCCACGTTGATGATGCCGTTGGTATTTTTGTACGCGGGAAGAAACAACTTTTTACAATGGTTGGTACAATGGGACTATAGTACTTTTATGGCTTACCATAGACACACTGCAAGGATAATGTTTGCTTTGGCAGTGATCCATTCTGTTGGATACACAGTTATTGTAAAAGATACTTACGCTGAAGATGCTGCTGAGACATACTTCTTTTGGGGAATTATTGCCACTACAGCTGGAGGGCTTATCATAATCCAAGCTTTCTTTTACCTTAGGAGAAGGTGGTATGAGATATTTTTGTTTTTGCATATTGTTCTTGCTGCTATTTGGGTTGCCGGCCTCTGGATTCACGTTACTGATTTAGGGTTCATCTGGTTAGTGTATCCAGCTGTTGCTGTATGGTGCTTGGATAGAGTTATAAGAATTGGGCGCTTGATTGTTTTTGGATTCCCCCATGCTGATGTGACCTTGTTGGCTGATGAAACATTAAAGGTTGTTGTTCCTAAGCCGAGTTATTGGCATCTCATTCCTGGAGGACACGCATTTATTCATTTTATCAAACCAACATACTTTTGGCAATCACATCCATTTACATTCACCAACTCGATAGAGAACAAAGACAGTATTGTGTTGTACTGTAAAGTTAAAGGGGGTATCACCCACAGTTTATACCAATCGTTGGCAAAAGCACCTGGAAGAACATGCAAGATCAGAGTTGGTGTTGAAGGTCCATATGGTGAACCAACACCAGCTAGATATTCTGATACTGCAGTATTCATTGCTGGAGGTAACGGTATTCCAGGGTTGTATTCCGAAGTTGTTGACATTGCAGAAAGTACGCCAAACAAAGATAACAAGCTAAAGTTGATTTGGGTGGTTAGAGAATGGAGGTCGTTATACTGGTTTTACGAAGAGTTGCTCCATTTAGGAAAGACCAGAATTGAAACCACAGTGTACATTTCACAGCCAAAGAATTACAACTTCATTGAAGAATTCCATAATAGATTTGCCGGATTAAAGAGATTGTCGATCGATGGACTGGATGACCTTAAGGCTGACTCCAGCAAAGAAGATGTCAAAGTTGAAGAGTTGTCAGGCTCTGAAAAACAGAGCTCAACTGATGACATTGTGAGAATTGACGAACCTATCCCCACTGAAGATGGGTCCTACCACAAAATTATCGACATCATCCAAAGTGAACTTTCTCACATCAAGTTCATTGAAGGAAGACCAGATATCGAAGAGCTCATTCCACAAGAGATTCACGAATCGAACGGATCCATTTCTTTTGTTACATGTGGGCACCCCGCCATGGTTGACAAAGTTCGTTACTACTGCACCAAAAACGTTTCCAATAAGGAGAAAAAGAGGGTCGACTTTTATGAACAAATTCAAGTTTGGGCTTAACGCTTAAATCGGTTTGTTGTAGCTAGCGGTGTTTAGAATCATTTTGCTATTTATTTATGAAGTATTGTTTGAATATGCCATTTTTCCATATATGAAACTTTCCAGTAGGAATAATCGCTTACATCCTATCATTATCTGAACAGCCTTGTTTCTTCTGTTGTAGAAATCAATTTCCCTTAAGTATTGCTTACATTCAGAAGATAAATCATCAAGAGCTAGTAAATACGCGGCATCAGAAAGAAAACTCTTGGGGTTCAACCTAACACTTCTGATTCTAGTAGCAATTGATGGCACTTTGTGTTTTGGCACTCCTGATTAAGGGAACTGGACTAAAGCATCTTGACTTAAGCCTGGCTCTAAAATTTAGTAAGGCACTAGACAATGCAGTAGTAATATCTAAAAAAGACAATACAAGATAAATTCAACGCCGAACCCTTTTGACCTATGCTATTGCTTTACTAACAGGAAAGCTCAACTTTATACAAAGCAATTTTATGATGCTTTTGAAGACGTGAGCCAGGAGATTTGTATGGAAGCCGCGTCTATTTCCAATTTTGTACTGTCTTAACCCTAGTAAAACACTATAGACAAGCCAGGAATGGCTGTCCAACACATGCAATGGCCAAGTAAAATTTTACATTTACATACTGATGTAAAGTCTGACTGCTATTGGTTAGACCAATTAAGAAAACTGAGACTTTGCTGAAATTGTCTTTACCTTCCTGGCATTAAAATAAAATTTTAAATGGTTAGGAGTCTTTGGTCCAGACATACGGAAAATGCTATATACAGGTCGTTGTATAGTGGTTACAAATATATATATAGATATTCAACTGCATAGCCTCTAATTACTGTACAATCACAAACTAAAAATATTTTTATTCTAATTCTCCTTTGTTTTTTTTTTTCTTAATTTTTTTTGGTTTATTTTTCTGCATTAGCAATGACATCACAAGCTGTTTACAAAAGTAACCATTGCTGAAAGAGTATACAGTTACGATCTACCTTGCAATTCACTGTGTGTTCTGTTATAAGAAACAGCAAAAGTTTTGTATAAAGTAAAGTGACGAAAGTGTGAAGCATTATTAAATGATAGAGAACCTTATTAGACATGGGTGCTATGCAATCAAATGAGTGGGCGATCGTGTGAGCGAAAGGGATAAATTTTTGTTGGGTTTTTTCTCGGAGGATTTATAGAGCTTCTTGTGATTGCAGAACAATTATACAATAGATTCAAAAACAAATAATAAGATGGATCTGAGGCGAAAGTATGGTTACAATGTGTTATTGTTTCTCGTACTTGCCTTGTTGAAGTTTCCTACAGATATGCGACCTACCCAGGTATGCTTAGCTTTGTAGACGTTCAATTGTAAGCAGTAGTATACCAGACTGGCTCAAGATTCGCAAACACAAAGAAACTACATAGCGCCGCATACATTGTTACTTCTGGCATTACATTTCCATGTTATGGTCAACTTTGAGTTATTTCAAGGGGACAAGAAAAGTGGGACTGCATATGAGAAGTGAAGGTTTCGGAGACCTCCGTATCGTTTGTGGAGATTGTGAATAAGAAAAAGAAATGTTCAAGCTTCGGCAATTTTAGTCAAGTGCTATACTTTAACAAATGCCCGTAAAAGCAGGACAAAAGTTGAAAATTCTAAGGCAGCATAGAGTAAAGCCTAAGCAAATTTGTACCTAGCACGAACATCACTAGTACATTGTGTATATCCAGAACCCCGCAGTAGACAGTTAATCATGCGATTATCTTCAAAGAAGTCAGTGTATTTCTATTTTAAAAGTGTTCCAATGTAAAGTAAACAAACAAAACTAGAAAGTCGGAGTTAGTAGCGGAATTAGGTTGTAACAAAAATAGAAAATACTTCGGCAGCTCAAAAAACCCGAATCAACTGTCGCTTATGCTTTCAAGACTAAATGCAAAGAGAATTGCAGTAAGTTGCGAAGACATATGTGAGATATCTCTGAGGTCTGGTTGGAACAGAAAGATTTCCACAAGTGGCACTCAAGATAATACCACTCAAAAAGCAGAAAGAAACACGGCTGGAAATATAACCCATGTGCCGCATTTTAATAAATCAAAGTCCTAAATTTTATGTATCAATTACTTGTGGCCGACATCTCCGAACAATCCAACCTTTCAGCATTGATTCTAATTATACATAACATTTAAACTTAATTGAAAATGTATAGCAGAGTGCAGGCGTGTAATCTTCGGTGACGGATTTAAATATTCGGGCCGTAAATGCAGAAATTAAGTTTCTTTGCCGCCCCAATTAGTGAAAATACTCACCTGCATATGTACTGAGCACTTTTTTAGATTATTTTCGCCAAAGCTTTACACATGAAGTGTTTGCTGTTTCCTAAAGCCAGTCTAATACTAAATCAATCTAATGCAAAACCGCCAGGGTTATCTTTGATATAGAGCTACAATATGGCTCTGATCTGTTGATTCATGCTGTTCTGACATTGTATAAACAATGGGTTCGTTAAGTCCTTTGAAGGACAATGCTAGAGAAACGAGGCAATGGACGACTTGCAATACCTGAGATGCATTGCAGCAAAGTCGACTGATTATTCCAAATACACTTTGTTGTATCTTTATTGCGCTAAAAGAGTGGCGCAATTTTCTACTAAAAAATTATAACGCAAGTTGGATATGTCGCTTCTTAGCCACTTCAAATGTTCACTCCATGAGCTACACGCTTATACTATGAGATGGTACACTTGCATTAAAATATCAGCTCATGCGGAGAAAATCGTTTGCTCTGTTTGATGTATTGAATGCTCGTAGTAAAAACACAATGACGAGACCAAAACTCCTATGATTTACAGTGCGCATTTATAAAACTTTAGTCAAGACGCGCATTATCGAGAATGTCTATAACCTCATAAAATATGGCCACAAGAAGGATTACTTCTCAAACTTTTGCTATGAAGAGACCGCCGTAGAGAAACAATGGAAGTATTGCCCTTGATAATTGTCACACCCTTGCACTCGTTAAAACTTGATATTTCTTTCTCTCTCTGAATTTCACAGTTGTGAGTATTGTTTCAATGTCAATTTTGTGTAATAACAGTGAAACAGTTATTTTGTGCCTGTGAAGATTTCGTAAATGGTGCTTTCGTCAATTGCATCGTCTCCAATAAGCGCTTGCTTACACACCAGATTTAAAGAAAATAAAGGGGTCGTTCGATTTAAGACACTTGCCACTCTACCGTCCTTGAAGCCAATGCCTCACTATGAAGCGTAGGTTAAAGTTGGTGACGTATTCACCACGTAAGACTTATTCACACTGTAAGCAAGATTTAAACGGTCTAAAAGTTGTTTACCTTTTTAACCCCGATGACATTTCCTTATTGTTCGTTTTATTTTGTTTTATTCTCTTTGGTTAGACTATACATGAAATTTAGAATCGCCAAACAGTGTTTAAAATGTATGGAGGCTTGTAATTTGAAAAATTAAACCACTGTGTATGCTCTATATCCCTTTGTATAATTGATTCCAAATTGTGAAATTTAAGTGCTCGGACTTATAAGTTTGGGTTAAGCTCACTTTGTTATTTCATGTGCGCAACGTGCTAAATTTATCAAATCATAGAGCCTGAGCATTGTTTGAAATGAGAAATCACCTGCATTACTTTCTTTTATCATTAAGGTTTTGGAAAAGAAAAGGAAAACAAACCCACAACAATGATTCTGTTGTAACAAATAGACCACAAAATTGAAAAGCAGAAGTCGTGTAAGCTTGTACAAATAGTATCAACAATCATGCCGAGTGCAAATCGAAGCTAACCAAATTTCGGCTGAAAATTTAGTCTCAAGCACTAAATCCAATACAAAGAGTGCAAACTTCCTTCGAAACCTTGTCTAGAATAACTCAGGTACTATGATGGGCTTTTAAGTCTCTCTTATTATTATTATTTTTAACTTTTTTTGTCTTGGGTGTGTCCTTTTTTTTCCCCTCGCCATAAGGGAGTGGGGGAAAGAGGGGGCAGCAGTAGATTCTTTGACCAAAAGTGGATTTTACAAGGGTGCCAAATTATAATTATGCAGAGCTACTTTTATAATTTTAGTACGTCATAGTTAAACCATTAGTTAATGTGTCTAGTTGTTGGGTCAAATCTGAATCAAACGGCACTTTTCTGTTTTAATTGTTGGTGGTGGAGGGAGGAATATTCTTCGTATCTCTAGTTCTGGTTTTGTTTACTTTTTAACAATAACAGCGCTTAATAATAGTATCACAATATTTAATAAACCATGCATATATTGTATCTACATGTGAATTTAGACCTGGCTGTGTTGAGTGTATTTAATATTTAATTTTTTCTTTTTTTGCTTTTTAGTAATAGCTTACTCATTTGCCGCCCCGAGTAATTGCTTCTAAGTTCGGAGAATATATAACCACCTGTCTTTGAAGAGAAGTTCTAGTTTATTTTGATACCTTTTACGCGACCTTGAAGTTGGAACACTTTCTCCTCATCACACTTGCCCTGTTTCATTTTAAACTCAGTTGCATATACGTGTCGAGTAGTTGATAATTTTTATTGTTTATGTCCGATATAACTAAGCCAAAAAATTGTTAAGCTCATGCACCACAAACAAAAGTCAGAGTGGATAGGCAAAAATTTAAAACATTTAAAATTTTTGGGAACATGGGCACACACTAAATTTCTTTTAGATCTAGCATAACAATAGAAGAAACACGTATTTTGTCGACTGAATCTCTAAGTGCAACATTTCGATACCAATTCTTATAATGGGTTTGCTTAGCCATTGGTTATAACTGACTATTGTTTTTCTTCCCACTACTCAATTCCACTTTAATGCTATTTTGTCAATTGCGCACAAACCAAAGTTATATTACTTAATAGCCCCAAACACTGAAAAAAAAGGATCTTTAACAGTTTTCACTACAATGCAGGTCTTCTTTTTATTTTTAGTTGTTCTTGTTGTTTAACCTCCCACTGAAAGAACAATCGTAGGTTGGGTTTGTTATTTTTTTTATTGCACGCGAAGCAAAACAAGGATTATAATAATTCTTAAATAGTCGGTTATACTTGACGACTGTCGTGAAGTTCAAAGAATTGACTTTGTTGGGATTTTCTTTTTTTTTGACAAGAGAAGGTTTTTTAAACCAATACTCTCCAAAAAAGTGTGATTCTTCTAGTATTTAGAGTTTTCAGTAATTTCTCCACCTGTGTATATAAGTGTGTGTGCTTGTGTGCTATATACCTTTAAGAAGAATTGCTCTTTTTTACATTCTGTGTCTGTGAAATATAATGGAATAGAAAATTCCACTGCATATGATACGCACACAGTTTGTGCAATATTATATTTCCATGCGCCATCTAAAATAGGAGATGCAGTTTATTGTCTGATTTTTTAAATTTTGTTTTTCTTTATTTAGTTCTAAAACACAAGAAGGTAGTCACTAAAATATGTACTGTGTGTAGAATAACAGAGTGAGTGGGTGGGTGGGTGGTGTATAAGTGAGTATCATAGTTAAAGTCTGTCTCACAAAAGGATCATCAAAAAAAAAACAACAAAATTAAATAAAAAACACTAAACATTTGTTTGGAATACTATTTTTATATAAGAGTTTATAATAACCAGTTACTGTGTCAAAAATTTATTATTTTCAGGATTATTATCTTGATCAAATCTTTTAAAATAATACTGCTTATTTTACAACCCTTTATTTCCCCTTGGAATATAGGATTTCATATTCACCCAGTCGATTAAAACACAATCTCACGCACGGGTAAAACAACTCCTTTTTTTCGACAAAGTGCAATAGGGAGCTTAGAATAAGAAGGAAGGAGCGTCCGGTCGTTATTGATACATTAGACCATAATATTCATCGATTAAAACTGACTATACAGGAGAAGATACGATAACAGCATCTCCCAAGCGTAGCCCACGGACCAACAAAAGAATTAGCGCCCAAGTAAAGTCAGGGTTGTTATCAAAAGAATTCCTAGCGATCCTTTTATTTCAAGAAAGCAAAGATCACGAAAGCTCCAAAAGTCAAATAGTGGGTTCTTTACCAGCAACTTAAGTCAATAGGACATACATTTTAACCGTGCAATTATAATCTAATCGATTACCGACAAGGCGGTTTTGCTGACATCACACTATTCTGGCAAAGTTAAAGTTTAAATTAGAATTTAGGCCAGTGAAAAAAAAAGGCTTCAGTTTATACTTTTGGCTCAACCATAAAGCTGTATTTGAACACAATTGGTTAAAGGCGGATCGCAAGGTAAAGTTCAAGGCCTGATCAGAAAAGTCTATTACATAAGGCTTAACATTTAAACAGGATCTTCATATACAAGCATTGAGAAGCCGTGTTTCAAATTCTTTGATCACTGCTATATTCTTTCTTCACTTGTTCCATCAAAGTTAGGGTTTGAACGCCCTAAACGCACATACTTTATACCTATTGCTGTAGTCGTTCAATCAAGCGTCAAAAGCATATAAAAAAGAGCGGGAATTGCTTAGCCAACATCAATTTGCAAACATTAGCTTTCAGACTGGATTTATAACACTAACCCATTCGTTTAGATTGAGTTTTGAGTCAACACCAACTACATCTAAACCAAAGAATAAACATAGCCAAAGCTTAAAAAAAGAGGCCCCCATTCAAACAAAGGTACAAAACATGGCCCCTCCTGCTGATCAAAGCAATGACCAGGTGGACTACAGAGCTCCACCTTCAACCATTGGATACGGAATAGACAGTAAAACTACTTTACCCCCTTTGGGATCAACAATGAAGCAAGAACAATCAGAGCTGTACCCCCAAACGCAACCACAACAGCAACAACAAGCCTACGATTATAGCGCACAGCCGTCCATTTATTCAGCCTACCAACAATCAAACTATGACCCCTATCAGAGACAAAATATTTTGCAACCACAAAATACCTTTACAGGAATGACTCAATACACTCAACCAACATATACAACAGCTAATACATCAACTGGCATACGGTACCTGTACCCCAACAGTGTTTCAGGAGTAGCAGTACCTACCACAAAGTCGGATACCCAACCACCTATACCACAAGAGAAAAAGAGTAGGCGTTTTAGAAGACGGTACAATCAAATTGTTAGAAAGTACCCCTGCTCGTACCCTGGGTGTCTGAAGAGCTATGGTTCATTAAATCATTTAAACACACACATTGTCACAAAGAAGCACGGGCCTCGTAAATCAAAACTTGATTTTCAAAATGGGAGCCAGAGCAAGGAGGATAAACAGGAAGCAAATTACACGCAACCGGAACATTTGCAACCACAATCACTGCTGCAGGTGCTGCAACCAAGCCAGTACCAGCTTCCACAGCAATCGCAAATACCAGTTCCTCCACAACAATATGTGACACAGCCTAATGACTATTCTGGCTACTATTATGGCTACACGGCACCACCAAACTTACGACCCAGTGTTTCAACGGACTCCACCCAAATTCCTGCCCCCAACGCGGGATTATATTATCTGGGATTTCAAGGTGCCACGCCATTGACCACGCAACAAGCACAACAAGCACAACAAGCACTGCAGGTACAGCCACAGCGTTCAGGCGGAGGATCAACTTCCACTTCACAGTATTATCAGACTGTACCGCAACAAAACTTGTACCAATCTCAATTCCAACAACAACAGACCCTAGGGGCTGGTATTTACTCGAGTCATCAACAACTGCCGCAGCAGCAAACAAATCAACATTAAATTGAGTGAACATTTTCTTCTAATAGCTGAGTAGTGAACTCAAACTCGGCGTTTTGTTTTTAGTTTTATATAGTTTTTGGAAGTCTATCGTGTATTATTATATTTAATATCATAAGTGTATTTGGTAGCACCCAAATTCGCTATTTTCTTTTTTTTTTTATATATTTTTTACTACATTTGTGCTCTGACGAGAAAGCCTTGCGTAAAGATCTTTCAGGACAGGTTGCTACAGGGAGAATGACCGATACGAATGTTTCAGCAGCAAATCTAAACCAAGATGAACCGACGATGGAAAAGGGGGATAACCTGAACCTTGGAACTGAAAATGAAAGTGTAGAGGAAGGGACAACCGACCTGAGTCACAATAACGAATCAACCCAATCAAAAGAACCAACTACAAAACCACCAAAAAAGAGATTGACTCTTCAAGAAAGACTAGCACAGGCTGCAAAGGGTAAAAAGAAGTCAGGAACCAAGTCTTTGGCCAATGGCGAGCAAAACCAGGCGCAAGGGGAAACACCCTCTCCACAAATATCACCACAAGTAACGGGAAACCACGAAACCCACGGTAATGAGATGAACTATAAAGCAGAGATTGAAAAACTAAAGCTAGAGAATGCTAGTTTGAAGCTGAAAAAGCCCGACTCTTTTGAAAAAGAACGTAATGAATTGTTGGACAAGCTCAAGACTAAAGACGAAACTATTGTCCAATTGTTGAAAGAAGGAGAGGCATTATCACACAAGGAACTTAAATTGAATGATAGTATAAAGAAGCTAAAATTAGCTAACCAGACCTTGGAGGAGGATATGGCTGAATATGCGAAGAAACATGACACCGCATTGGTGTCCTCACAAGAGCTACAAGAATTTCTCAAGTCAAATAAACTCAAGACCGTGGATCAGCTTCTTGCCAAGTTTGTGACAATAAATCAGGATTTGAACACATCCAGAAGTGAGGTTGACAAATTGAGGCAATCGGAAATCAAGTACCATGAGTTATCAAAGCAGCATGAGGAGGTAACTGCAACTAGAAAAGAATTGACCAAAGAGGTCAATGCTCTAAAAGTTGAGCATGATATGGCCATGAAGCAATACGGCCTAGACCTTGAGTCAAAGCAGGAGACTATAAATTCCCAAAAGGAAGAGCTATCGAAAGCAAGGCAAAGTTATTCTGAGGAAATTACGAGGTTGGAAGAAAAGATTGAATCACTAAGGTTTGACCATGAGGTGCCAACAGTACCCCACAGTGATGACAAAATTGACTTTGATGATTTCAAGAAGTTGTCTGATTCGCATCATGTTTTGCAAAAACAGTATTTATCATCACAGGAAAATTGGAAATTGATTGAATCCAATCTTTCGCTAAAGGTTGATACGTTGACATCAGCATTGGATGCGGCAAAGAGGGCAAAAACTAAATTGAGCAATGATTTGATTAAAGCCAATGGTGCTTTACAACTGCAATCCAATGAGATTAGAAGTTTGCAGGATGAGAAGGAAGAGCTACAAGAACAAATTAATAAGTTGCAATTATCAATCAAGCTCAAAGATGATGACATAAAGGTCGTTAATGAAAAGCTCGAGCGATTACAAGCAGTATTCACCCAGGAGCGGTCTAACCTCAACATCAAAATCACCAGTTTGAATGAAACGATTGAATCATTAAAGGAGGAACAAAGGCAGCAAGGATATCAGCAACCGAAGTTGACTCGAGATAGCTCTCTAAGCTCCGATTTAAGCTGGAACGAGATACGACTTGGCGAATCTTCAAATACTCCTGCGTTAAATAAAGAGTTTGGTATGTTTCTGAATCGTTCTCTGGCATCCTTTACCGAAATTGGGGAAGGGGAACTGTTGGAACGTGAATCGTATTTGACACCAGGTTTTGGTGTTTCTATCAGCGGCCTAAATGGAAGCACCGGTGGATTAGGTGTTCCCTCTACCATAACCAATGGAAACAATTTACAATTAATCCACAAAATGAGTTCAAACATTAGACGTTTAGAAATTGAGTTGAATACCCTCAAGGATGAATACGAGAAGCTATTAGATGTCAAGGAATCAAGGGAGCAGGAGTTACTTGAGTCGATAAAGGTGAATGAACAAGTGCAAGAGTTGAAGACCAAAATTGAGGACCTTCAGCTGGCAATCGAAGAAAAAGACGTGAAAGAGCAAACGATGTTGGAGTTGATTGGAGAGAAATCGGAGCAAGTGGAGGAGTTGAAAGCAGACGTGTCCGACTTGAAGGACTTATGTCGAAATCAAGTGCAACAGATGGTAGAAATGCAGGGTTTGTAAATAGAGTAGACGAAATTGAATATCATCTCATTCATATTTTTCTTTTTTTTTTGCGCGATCTCATCTCGACATTGAAGAGCTGAAAAAAAAAGTACTCAAACTGGCAAAGCTCCTCCTAACCAAACCACTATGAAGTATAGCATCTACAACAACCTAATAGCTAAACTCATCCCCCGTAGTGGAAAGGATGAATTCCAATTTTATATGGTTGATGTATCGGGGAAGTTGTCACCTAGTGGATCTGTCTTTTTAGATGAGTCAGTCATTGATTTTACTTTGGGGAAGACTTCAAGCTCCGCAAAGAAGAGGGAGCTTAACGGGTCAGCAAAGTCACTTAAGAATATAGATGACTCAGTTATTGCTGTTTTATCTTCCGGTGATATTGTGACGATTTCGGTACATTCGAGGACAGTTATGAAACACGACGTGAAGATGAAGTTGACACAAATTATTGCATTAGAAGATAATACGATATGGGGCTTGTCTAAGGGTAACCTCTACAAGGTTGCATTGGATGGAAAATACAACAAAGTGAAAGTGCCTGACTTTAAAACTGTTGTGGTGAAGAATGGAGTTGTGTACATCGGCACATCTGTGGGACTTTTAGTTGGCAAGATAAGTAAAAACGCATTTGTTAAGGAGAAAGAAATAGAGACTGATTTTGAAGTCGTATCGATAGAAGTGCTGGGTTCAACCATAGTAGCATCATCGTCATCCCGAGCAGTATTGATAGATTCCAATTTGGACAAGAAAGAATTGGCTGTAGGACATGATTTAAAAGTACAGGTTGCCGAAGAAATTTACATCATCAGTGGTGACTCATTGAAGATATTCACAAGCACAGGAAATTACATAAAAAGTATAGAGACACCGCATCCTGTTGATTACGTTTTCACCATAGAAGGAACTAGCAATGTCAGCTGGCACAATGGTACCGACATTCACGTGCAAAATTTTTCTCACGAGACTAATACAATATCCTTTCAAAACGGAATATCAGCCAACCCAAAAAGTAGTACTTTGATTGATATAGGTTATCCAGTTGATGAATTAGATGTGAAGACCGTGGAAACTCAACTACATGAAAATCTAAGTCAGAGCAAGACAGACAAGGAAGAGGTCACTGGCATTTGCTCGTCACTACACAACGACCAAGACGTGAAGCAAATTGTCACAAACTTGCCCCATGAGTATGTCGAACGATTATTTCAAGTCATTGATACCAACAATCCAATCTGGCTTAAGTGGATACTATTGATACACGGAAACCTGATTGCCAACTCTTCCATATCGGTTAAGGGCCTCCAACAGAGTCTTCGATCGAACGTTGAAACTATGCCTCACTTGTATGCAATCAAGGGTAAGCTCCAGTTGCTCAAATTACAGTCGCAGATAAGAGATGCATCAATTGACAATGACATTACAACTACAATTGAGGATGAAACGATGATTTATGCAAATGGTGAGGTCGATGAATTAAATAGACTCTAAGAAATCAGCAATTAAACCAGCAACTACATCTGGAGCCTCTCTTTGTAAGAAATGGCCTACTTGAGGAACTACCTTAACTTGGGCCTTTGGATACAAACTCTTTAATTTCTTTTGTTCCAATTGCGCTATTCTGGCAGACATACAGCCGTCATTTTCTCCATTTAAGATCAAGGTGGGAACTTTTACAAAATCAACAGGCCATCTCGATTTCCAAAATGATAACGGACGGAACAAGTGGCGGTAGTAGGCTGTGACAGCATCTACTACGCCATCTCTCTTGAATGCATCTCTAACTTCACTAATCTCGTCTTGCGACACATTGTAACCGGGCGACCAGTACTTCCAAAGGTATGTCAAGTAATCATTTGACTCTGTCAATTTTGCCTTGTATAGCCAAGGATACTGCATAGTGAAAAAGTATGTTGACAAGTACATTTGCTCAGGTGCGTGCCACAACAACTCGTACCCTCTTACGTTTGCCAAGTAAGGAATTGCTAAAGTAACCATAGACGTAATCAATTCAGGATACAAATTTGCCGTCTTGAATGCTATAATAGCTCCCCAGTCGTGGCCTACTAAATGTACTGGCTTGTCCAATTTAGGATTAACTTCATAGATCCAACCTTTGACATCACCGGCAAGATAAGGCAACATATACTCCTGTTCAGGTCCGATACTTGACTTCTCGTACCCTCTCAACTTAGGAGCAATGAGTAAAACTTTCTCTTTAAAATGGGAAAGCAACAATGGCCATACTTTGTTAAAAGTGGTATTGACGTCAGGGAATCCATGAAGAAGAATAATGACGCGGTCAAAGTCTTGTGCATCAATTGTTGATAAAGGAAAATTACTTAATGTGGTAAATTCTCTGCCATCATTGTGGAGTTTGATTTCGTGTTGGTCGAGTGACATGGTTATTGATAAGTGATGTAGAAGGGACGATAGTTTTTCGTGGGGAAATAAAAGAGTTTTATTTTTTTTTCTTTATTTGTGCTTGTGATAAAATTTAAGGGGGTAGAATCTGTAAAATTCACATGAGTATTTGGAGTCAAAAGCCAACGCAATTAAGGGCCAAAATATTGTACAGCACTCATATAGCATCAGGTTAGTAAACTCTGTGTTTATCCGTTTGATTAATTGGCTGCTTGGTTGTTGAGTGATTATCTGTTACAGTCTGTTCAATACCATCTTTTGAACTCGACGTTATGCCTGTATAAACTTGGAGCGATCACTTTGAATAATATAATCCGTGACGATGTCCCTTAATTGGGTGCGATATAGCTAGGTCTCTAATAGTTTCCGTAGTTTCGTATTTAATGTATCCTCTATCACCAATGCACTACTTCTGGGCAGCGAGCAACAGTTGCATCGATTCTGCTTTTATAAATTAAAGCACACATATCTCGATGCTGTTATCGTAATCGAAATGGTCTATCTCTGGTTGCCAAATGATGCTTCCCACTCAATGATGCAACCAATTCTTTCAAACGGGATCCTCTACGAACGATAAAAAACACGCCTTTGTAGCCTTCCCTTTCATAACTTGTCTTTTTAGTGAATTGTCGCCGATAAATATACGTGAACAGTAGTGGCTGTGTGATTGCCTGTTCAATCGACTCTATCTGGTGAGGTTTTTAACCAAGTTAGAGTTTTTGCGCATTCAGCCATCTCGGAAACCCGGAAATGAAAAGACTGTTTCCATTTTTTTCCTGTCTCACTCACACTTTTGTGTCGTTATGACCGCGCCCTCGCTTTTGGTTGCTGCCCAACACGCATGAGAATGTTTTCGCACCACAAAACGGCGGAAAAAATAAAACGCAGTGGTGGCGGTTCAACACACCCCGGACGTCGACGGAATAAGCAATCCTACGGAAGCTTTTGTAACACTTTTGGAAAACACGACACATTTTTTTTACTGCACCTTTGATTTTTTATATGGGGTAAACCACGACTGATAATCAAAAAAAAAAGAAGAAAAAAGTAATACTACAATCATCTTTTCTTTCTTTCGTTATTACATTGACTATATACAATTACTACTAAATATAAACATAACCATGAGTAACGCACACGATTCTGTCTCCAAGCAAATGGATGTCCAAACTGACATTATCACTTTGACTAGGTTTATCTTGCAAGAGCAACAAAAATTAGCTCCCAATGCCACTGGTGAATTGAGTTTGTTGTTGAATTCTTTGCAATTTGCATTCAAGTTTATCGCTCACAACATCAGAAGGGCCGAATTGGTTAACTTGCTTGGTGTTTCCGGTACAGCCAACACAACTGGTGATGTTCAAAAGAAGCTTGATGTTATTGGCGATGAAATCTTTATCAATGCCATGAAGAGTTCGGGAAATGTCAAGGTGCTTGTTTCTGAAGAACAAGAAGATTTAATCATTTTCCCAGGGGGTGGTCGCTACGCCGTCTGTACTGATCCTATTGATGGGCTGTCCAACATTGATGCCGGTGTCTCAGTTGGTACCATCTTTGGTGTATACAGAATCCCAGAAAACTCACCTGGATCAATCAGCGATGTTCTCAAAAGAGGAACTGAACTAGTTTGTGCTGGTTACACAATGTACGGTGCGTCGGCTCACTTGATGTTGACTACTGGAGATGGGGTCAATGGGTTCACCTTGGACACTCAATTGGGTGAGTTTATTCTCACTCAACCAAACTTGCGTATCCCTGAATCAAGAGCCATTTATTCAGTCAATGAAGGTAACTCATACTACTGGCCTGATTACATCAAGCAATATTTTGAAGATTTGAAAAAACCTCAAGAGAATGGAAAGCCATATTCCGCTAGATACATTGGATCTATGGTTGCTGATATCCACAGAACTTTGTTGTATGGTGGTATTTTTGCTTATCCAGGAGACAGCAAGTCCAAAAACGGAAAATTGAGAATTCTCTACGAAGGTTTCCCAATGGCATATTTGTTGGAACAGGCTGGTGGTAAAGCCGTTAATGATAGGGGAGAAAGAATCTTGGAGATTTTGCCAAAGGGTATCCATGATAAATCCAGTATTTGGTTAGGATCTAAGAAAGAAGTTGAAAAATTTGAATCTTACATTCCTAAATAGAAAATGCATAGTTTAAAAAAAAAATTAGTCCTATAGAGTTTTAAAATATTGCCTTGCGTAGGAGAGTGCAAGTCACTGCCCTATATACTACTGAGTGCCATGAGGTGCTGTACTATATGGAATGTGGTACTTACCATCCCAGTGGCTTCAGGTCACAAGTCATTGACAGGGAACTTTTTACCACATTTACTTTCCTTTTTATGCATCACGATATGACTGCTCTTTGTATGATGCCCGATTATAAGAACCCGTTTGTCTCATTACCCTACACTCACTATTTTTTCTCAACTTGTCTCTGCTGATAAATAGACCGATTAATCTCAAACAAAATGTCAATAGTATTGCTCTGGGGTCGGTTCCTCAATACATTCTTTGGATTCGACCTGACTTGGGTCTCCCATTGATTCGACGACTCCAATGACCGGTAAACCTTGTACTGTTCTCCATCCTTATCCTGTTGTGCTTTGGCAAGGTATGTTTGGTAGTGCGATTGTAGGAATTGCTTAATTTCCTGTCCATTGAATGATGACGATGATGATGGTGGTGGTGGTGGAGGGGTTCTCGATGTCGACCTAGATGATTTCACTTTCTTGTCTTGTTTTGCTTGCGTGAGTAGCGTTTCATTAGTCGTTGGCTTGTCTTGAGTTGGTGCTGCATTAGCCAATTTAGCTGCCCAGTCTGAAGCCATTTGGAGTTGATGTGTTGTAGTGTAAGACAATATTTTTTTCTTTATTGATTTACCTGAAATTTAATTTTCACTAGCAAAAAAGTCACAGTCCCAATTGAATTCAATTGACTTCCTTATTAGGAAGTCAACATTTCATTTTGTTTTTTTTTTTCTGTTGTTGTTCTCTTTTTTTCCAGTTGACGTGTTTTAATTTGAATATTTTTTTTTCCATTCTCCAAAATTTTCATAATTTGACTCTTGTATATACATCACAACAACAAGAACAACAACAACAAACTATTACAAATGAGTGGCTTCCGTGTATTGGACTTGGTGAAGCCATTTGGGCCCTTTTTGCCCGAAGTGATTGCTCCTGAACGTAAGGTTCAGTTCCAGCAACGTGTCATGTGGACCATTATTTCATTGATGATTTTCCTTGTTATGTCTGAAATTCCACTATACGGAATTGCATCGACTGATGGAAGTGACCCCCTTTTCTGGTTGAGGATGATGTTGGCCTCGAATAGGGGAACTTTGATGGAATTGGGTATTTCGCCAATTGTATCATCGGGTATGTTGTTTCAATTGTTGCAAGGTACCAAATTGATTCATGTTGACATGCAAAATAAGAATGACCGTGAGACTTTCCAAGTCGCTCAAAAATTGTTGGCAATTTTGTTGGCAGTGGGACAGGCTACTGTTTATGTGTTGACGGGTATTTATGGACCACCAAAAGCTCTTGGGGTTGGTGTTTGTCTTTTGTTGATTTTGCAATTGGTATTTGCCAGTGTTATCGTCATCTTGTTGGATGAGTTGTTGCAAAAGGGTTATGGTTTGGGTTCTGGTGTTTCATTGTTTACTGCTACAAACACCTGTGAGCAAGTATTTTGGAAAGCATTTGCCCCCACCACAAGTTCGTCAGCTAGAGGTACTGAGTTTGATGGTGCTGTTGTTTCCATGTTCCACCTTCTTGGTTCTAGAAAGGACAAGAAAAGAGCCTTGATTGAATCCTTTTACAGACCAAACTTGCCAAACATGTTTCAATTGTTGGCCACTATTTTGGTGTTTTTCACTGTTGTCTACTTGCAAGGATTCAGAATTGAATTGCCAATGAAATCAACCAGACAAAGAGGACCATATGGATTGTATCCAATCCGTTTGTTCTACACCTCAAATATTCCAATTATGTTGGAAAGTGCCCTTGCATCCAACATTTTTATCATTTCACAGTTGTTGTTTATCAGATGGCCAAATAACTTGTTTATTAAGCTTTTGGGTAGTTGGGATGCTAGACCAGGATCATCACAATTGTACGCCAATGGAGGATTGGCCTACTACATTCAACCACCATTTAGTTTTACTGAAGCATTGTTGGATCCAATCAAAACCACAATTTACATTGCTTTTGTTCTTGGATCATGTGCTTTATTCTCCACCACTTGGATTGAGATTAGTGGTACATCACCTAGAGACATTGCCAAGCAGTTCAAGGAACAAGGTTTGGTTATTGCTGGTCATAGAGAAACTTCAGCTTACAAGGAATTGAAAAAGATTATCCCTGTTGCTGCTGCGTTTGGTGGTGCCACTATTGGTGCATTGTCTGTTGTCTGTGACTTGATGGGTACTTTGGGAAGTGGTACCTCTATATTATTAGCTGTCACCACCATATACGGCTACTATGAGTTAGCTGTAAAGGAAGGTGGGTTTAACAAGTCGTTGGTTAGTGGGTTCTCTGATGGTATTTAGATAAAATGTTATGCGCTACCGAATACCCTGTATAGAGAAGACATAAAGTAAAATGAAGAGAAAAAAAAAGAAAAAGAAAGAAATCTATAGTGTCATCCCTCATCGAGTAGAAGAATAATTTCCTGACCCCTGTTTTCATTATCTTCACTACCACACATATCTGATAATGGATAGCTCAGAAACTGAATCTTACTCATCAGACAAGATGACCAACAACTCACAGGATGCAACTTTGAATGAGTTGTTTGCCCAACTACTGGAAGAACTACATAAGGAAACACATCCTACTCAAGATTTCAAAAGCATAGAAGCCTCCATCAAAAAACTTCCCAAACTTCAGTCCAATTTCGAAAACCCACCTCAGTCGAAAGACAAAGTAGTCAGGATACACGATCCAGTGACTGCTGCTACAACAGTTAAAAAGCAAGATGATGAGACCAGTGGCTCAAAGTGGTTCAACATGTCGCGCCCCGAACTCACATCCACCATCAAGCGTGATTTACAAATCATCAAACAAAGACAAGCTCTAGACCCTAAACGCCATTACAAGAAGGAGAAATGGCAAATCCCCAAATATTTCCAAATGGGTACTATAATCGAAGGCAATACTGGTTATTACAACAAGTTGACCAAAAAGCAACAGGGGACAAACTTGGTGGAAGAATTGTTGCATGATGATGCGACGAAAAAGTATTTCAAGAGGAAATATCATGAAATCCAACAACAAAAGACTAGTGGTAAAAAGAGTCATTATAAAAAGGTAAAGAATGATCGTAAAAAGTTTTAAAAATACATACACATACATTAATACATACGTATATTCATTCAAGACCTGCTCGTTTAAAAACATCCAGTCGTACTTGTTCCCACAACTGTTTCTTTTCTTCTTTACTTAGTTTCTTCTTTCCTTCCAACCTCAACCCTCTTTTCAATTCATCAACTTTAAATTTGTACTCATGGGCAGTTGTTGCCGCAGCAGCCAAATTTATCAAGTAATTTCTTAAGGCAATCTCTTTAAATTTGAACTTGAGAAAGTCGTGTTCGTTAAATTGCATGTTGGGATATTGTTGGTTCTGTCGTACTTCATTGATTTGCAATAAACGTGATTGCTTGACTGATATTTCAGCAACCAGCTTCTTAAACGCCAAATCTAAATTGTGTTCTTCATATAAATTGGACTGTATGAGAGTGAATATTAATTCAGTATCGGATATATGTGGTTGTATAATGATCAAATGACAAAGCTGGGCTAAATCGCCAATTAATTGAGGAGGAAAGTTTTGGTTATACGAGATTTGATCCAGGGCTGTTGATATCGAAGGTAGTTGGGTCAACATCAACTTACACCTGGTGACATTTAAATTCCAATCAATTAAATTCTCGTTATTGTTTTGATAGGCAAGACTCGAACCAAGGGAAATCTTGTAAAGCTCCTCGGGGTCAGATACATTCATTTGTTTTGATTCGTATACTTTGGCAAAATGGCCCTCATGAAGCACTATATCATTCACCAATTGTTCAACAGTAACTGTTAATGGTTCCAGGTCTTCTGGAATAGTTCCCGTTGAGCTGGAATAAATAGAAGGTGCTGAGCGCACTGAACGTTTACCGAATGATGAAAAGATTGACGCTGATGATGATGACGACGTAGTATTGGCTGATCGATGCAGTGGTTGGTATGATGACTTCTTGAAAAATTGCAGTGGAGCTGATCTGATGGACGAAGATGATTTAAGGGTTGATATCGGCAGTCGTGAAGACCCATTTATTGAGGGTAATTTATTGTAAATTTCATTTCTAGCATTCTCTTTGAACTGAGATGGTGCTGATTGTTTGCCCTGACTATTGGAGAATGGTGAAGCATACATTGCGAAAGGAATAAGAAGTCTGTGTACTTATTAGTGGGGTTTCGTTGGGTTATTCTTCTCTCTTTAGTACATGAACACTATATGAGGTTTATTTATAGATATATGATGGTGGTAGACTTTGAGACTGATATAATGTGTGTGTGTGGGGGGGGGGTAAAGGCTCTAGTAAAGAAAAACACTCCAGTTGTCTCTTTTTTTTAAAAGAAATAGAAAAAAATTGAATGATGTGTGTTTATATCTCTGTGTATATGTTGAGTATGATATTTTTTAAAAAAGGGGATTATTTAAATTCCAACAAATTGCTATTCAGTTTGTTAGTTGTTAGATAGTTGTAAAATGAAACAATATAGAGGATATATATGTACATATATTTATAATTAGATGAATGCTCTTTTATTTTTATTTTTCTTTTTTTTTTTTCCAAAAATTAATCCTTTTTGTTATTTTTAAAAATTAAAACAATAGGAGAGGAGGAGGTGGTGTACATACTTAAGAAGAAATAATAAAAAACAAAATTAAACAATGGAATAAATAGTTTCACGGAATGAAACAAAATACAATCAAATACAACACACATACAGCTAACTACAGTTCACTTATAACTACTATTGTCACACCCAGCTGTTGCTTCATATATATATATATATACTATCACTCCTCCTAACACATACTGAACTACTCCACTTTTGATAGATCCCTCTCTTTCGTATAATTCAAATGGTTATATATCCTTTGATTCTCCTTCAGATTGATCCTAATTTTATTTTCTTTTTGTTGGGGTTTTGTGCAATCGTGCACTACCCAGAAATACACAAAAGACGGAATCCAAAAAAATTCGTTCAATTCTTCCGACAGACATTGTATTGATGAGGTAGCTATTAATAAGGTAAGGATTGGTGTAGAAGTAAACTTGTCCCTTTAAATGGTGGGGACTGCAATGAGTGGCAACTGATTGTCAGATGGTTCAAACTCTCTTGAGCTCTTTTTTCATCAACATTACAGAAGATGTTTTACTTCAAAAATTTTTCCGGTTCTATGGATCCAGGTCATGCAATCAAATGATAAAACAAAACTCTCCGAACTTTTCTTATTTTTGTTCACCCGTGTTGTATTAAATGTCACCAGACACTTTTTATGTCCTCCAATGAATAATTTTTCCGATACATAGTGAAACTTGCTAATTTTTTATGTTTTGTACCCAGTTATCATCAAATGTAACAATGTTGCCTTTCGCTTGTTCCCCCACATACCCCAAATTTTTTACATTCTTGTGTTGTGTTGCGCATGGCTTTGTTACAATGATGTGCGCACGTGATTAACTGATCCCTTTTCTTTTTTTCTTCATTTTTGGTGGGAAATCTAGCATTGATCAGCCTATATTTCTCTAGAAATAATGCCACACGAAGTTACACCAAACGTTTCAGAAGTGGTACATTGAAGCCCCGTACTCTTCAAATCAAAAAAGAACTCTCTAGCGGCTCTCAGAATTTTGGGGGATCCATGAAACAATTTCAAACACAATACTCCCTACAAATTGTCGGAAAAAAATATTGTTTTGTACTCTTTTAAATTTCTTTTCCTCTTGCCTTTTTTTTTCCGCTAACAGTTTCGGAAGAATAGAGGATTATGCAACTACAATTATATTTGTATTCTGCCAGTTCAAAAAACCACACACAGAACCTTTTAATATCGTGAACTTATATTGTTAATATTTTGCACTCTCTGGTTAAGGAAATCACAAGTCCTTTAAGTTAAATAATTTGCAAGTACACAATATAGAAAATCTATTCGTCTATGTATCTGATAGCTCAGAGACCAAACTTTGTATGTTGATGAAACGATCAAGCCAACAGCTTCTACTATTCAAAAGACGAATTGGCAAAAACCAAGAGAATAAGACTACAATAATCTTTGTTTGCTATATACAAATAATATACAAATTCGTTTTATTATAACAACTCTTGATACTGCAATCAATAATAACATGAAAGACATTTACTACGCATCTATAAAAAAAATAAATTGCAATACTTGAATAAGGAAAAAGATGATATTCTAGTTTCTGCATATTGGTGAATGATTGTCCAAGAGGTGTTTACCAATATGCAGAAACTGGAATCAAGAAAAGAAAAAATCTATCCCAAATGCAAAACAAATCATCGTTATTTCAAGTGCTTGTTGTTTTGATGATGATTGTTTCCTCTAAAATCGTTGTCATCATATTTCCAATGCGGAATTAAACAGAAATGTGGAATGTTTACCGCTATTTATACCTCTTTTGGGTTTTGCTTAGTTGCCAATATTTATACAAAAAGTACATAGATACAAAGTGAAGGTATAACAAACTACTAATAGATAAATTACTGCATAAATTATTAGATATGCATGTTGTGATTAAAGTCTGTTGGGTATGATGGCCTCAACACCGGTTGTATGGTGAAGTGCTGGAGATTACTGTGCGTGTTAATTTATCTGAGGAGAAAAGGGATATAAAAATGTGTGTGATGTGTAATCAAACACATAATAAAGTTATTATGTGATGAACAGATAAAAGTGGAGATAATGTTACACTTCTCTAAAGTATATAATATATGTGAAAGTGTGGCTATAATTGAGGAAAAACACTATAACTTGTGGAGTTTAATATAATGTAGGTGTTAATAAAAAACGATACAATATCTATGAGAGAAATATGTATAAATAGAGCAGTAGATTCGTAATAAATATAATGACACGGGAATCTACCAAGTAAGTGAATGAGTTTTTACAACAACAATATACTTGGTTTGTATAGTTTTAATTATGCTTCGTAATTCCTGTACACTGATGAAAATGAACATCCGTGTTTTGTATAATAACATCTGCCCCTCAATTTTATCTTTCTCACTTTTGTTATTTACTTTATCCTTTTTGATATGGGGTGGGTCGATGAGACAAGATATAGTTTCCTTCGTTGTCAAGACAACTTGTTACACTGTTTTTTGAAAAAAAAAGCGTGACCAAATATATCTTATACTTTGCATATGTAACTAAATAAAGCTATACAACTAGTAAGAACAGAAAATACAAAGAAATGTAACCCAATCTTGAGTTCTATTCCTTAAAAAGATTAAAGAATCGACAGTGATATTTCAAGTATCATATAAGAACTGTCTCTCTGTAACTATATTCAACCCAGTCTCAGATGAGTCACGACATGAGCCCTGAAAGCGTTTTAAATATCTATTAATTGATGAATTATACGACTAGTAGTACTACTATTGCGCATTTGTATTCGATAAGTGAAAATTTCTTGGTTGGTTTAATCTCTTCAGAAGTTTTCCAAATCAAATCTTTCTTACTGGCAAAATTTGAAGTAGCGTGGTAGCAACTGGGTCCCCATTCAGCTTCTAGGAAAGGGTATACCCAATTTGCACTTTATTACTCACGCAAGCCCAAAAATACACAACAAGAGAGTACATATACAGTTTCAATTTGTCATGCACCTTGTGTATCCCAATAACACATGATGGTTTGCTTGTCTGACTTGGCATACTAGGTGCTACAAGAGATATTCACTCATATAAACCAACCTCAAGCTTTGGCCCTTGCTCCCTTACGTTCCAAGCTTTACTATGTCACAAAGTTGAAATTGTATCTAAGCATTTAAGTGTACTAGCCATGACCGATGGATCAGAAATGTGATGGACCCGCCTGAAGAGGAGTAAATTTCAATTTCTTAAAGATATTAACAACTTCAAAACCAATATGTATACCATTATCTTCTTTGATACATTGGAGACGTATCTAAGTCAAATGAGTGTAACAAAGGAAATCCACCATTTAGAATTGTACGAGTTTCACGTTTCACGTTTCACGTTTCACGTTTCACGTTTCACGTTTCACTACTTTTACGTATTTTCACCCATTTCAAATCAATTAGACATTTCCAATTGGTTGCAAACTGTAAAGATCGCGCTCCTCGACTTAATGTTGTGGAACAAACCTTGTACACGCAGCAATACCTTCGGTTACTACATTCTAAAACTGTGTTTACACCTTCAGCATTTGAATTGGATGCCAAAGTGTTCAAATGCTGGAAAACCCCAGTACCCTTTGCAAAAGGTTCAACGAGAGGCCGAACGAGGTTGACATGGTTAATCAATTATCAAGTCTTTCTACATTGACTGCCCGTATCGAGCTTGGTGAAGATCCGTATCAATCGTGGTAAAAAGTCGTATCAATGCAAAACCTTAAAATTAAAACGACTATTTCTACACCTTCGCTTTTAAACTAATATAAAATACCAGTTCAATAGAGCATTTTATTCCACGCTCCTTTGTCAGTTGTCAATTCGGGCATGTATGCGCCTTGATGCTGTTTTTCCCGACCCTCAATTGGATGAACAATATCCCAAACTTATATTGCTTTGTGTTGTCTAAGAAGCTTTTCGACACCTGATAAAGAAGCAGTGATGCAGGAGCTTGTAAAGCTTTGCCATGAAACACTAAGAATGTTTATTTTTGTTTATGGAAAAATCAATGTCACTATTGCCCAACAGATGGGCCAATGTTTTATTAATTTTCCCATTGCTAGCATAAATGTGTGGTTTGAACACAGGTACTGGCCAAAGTATCCAAAATGTACTAAAATTGTCATCATTTTAAGTCCCGAGTTGGGGCGTGGTGTTATCCGTCTCCATTTCCCTGAGCCAGAAATGCATATTACCAAATTTAAATTCAGTATAGTAGGATGGGAGAAAGTAGAAGACAGGTTTCTTGTGCAGAAGTTGGATGTGGTTTTCAATAAATGCTACTTAAGAGATGAATTTACTGTGATTTACAAAACTGACAACTGTGGTACTTGTCATTGGTCATTCTTCAATCTCTCTGGGTGAGTTTAGGCTAATGCTTTTTGCAGCAACAATGTGCGGCTTTAAAAGATGAAGAAGAGAACTTTTCGTAATTATTTGGTAGCTCTAATTTTACATCTTCGGTTTCCGCATTTTGAATCGAAAGTACACACAATATTGGCTCTCTCATCATTAACTTCTGCAAAACAAATCGACAGGCAAAACAGTTATTAAAAACTATGGCTGAAATTGGAGAAGTTGTATCCGATGATTATGGATTCAAGTTGATTGATGATTTTGCCATAGCAGACGCAATAGATTTAAAACAACACAAGGATGGAGAAGAATTACGATTATTAGCGATCCACGATGAACAAAGGGTCATTGCTGTATCAAACTTCAAGTCACTCAAATTTGTATCTGCTGATCACTTCGAGGATATTGATACTGTGGATGGTGACTTTCATATAACGCAGTTGTATTTCACCGATCTGAAGTTTTACATGTTGAATAACAACGTAATACAAACATTGACTACTGATCAAATCAAACGCAACGAGTATCAATTTGCTTCCGTAGAGGGAAAGTATACTGATTTAAAGCCATTAAATGATCACAATTACCTAGCTTTTGATAATGGCAATCTATACCACAATTCAATCAAGATTGCATCGAGTGTGATCAAGTATGCTTGGCACAAGTCATCGCCAATTTATATTACCGAGTCGGACCAATTTCAAATAATGGGTAAACCCATCAACTATGACGAAGCAGCAAAAGATGAGTTATCTGAGCTTCGACTCGTTGAGCTTGTTTCCATCAGCGAATACATTTTCCTCATATACGATTCAAGTGAAGAGCAACCATCTGACGACCATCAAATCAGAACCTACTTGCTCAAAGACGAAAATGAAAAGTACACGCCCTTGGATATTGAAATAGCATCGCCATATGGTGCAGCATACAGAACAACAACCTACTATACTGCTTCAATCGCCAACTGGCTAAAATCAACGCAGCTAGAATTCATCACGTCATCCTTATCGTTGGAAATTGGTATTCTCGATATTACAAACTCAGATCCTGAATCTATTGTGCCATCAGAAGACTCAAATAAAGCAAATTATCCCATAGATGACGAATCACTGCTTGATGTTTCACCTGTAGGGTTTGCTATTTCTGTAAATGAGTTGAATTCGAAGGTGGACTCCCCCTGTGCTGGAGTTGAGGGCGAAGTTGTCGGAAAGTTACCGAGAATATATGCGTTCTTGGATAATGGTAACTTGAGGTCTTGGTGGGTTTTCAACAAGCATGGTATTTTAAATGACGATTTGTCCTTGGAGAATGCCATTGCTGAAGAAAGATCTAAAGTGAAAGACAAAGCTGAAATCAATGATGAAGTAGGTAACAAGGAATCTTCTGAAACTAATGATGAAGCTGATAAAAAAGAATCTGCTGAAACCGAAACAACATCACAGCAACCAAACCCATTCCAATCTGCACAGCAACCAAATCCATTCCAAACTGCAAGCAATCCTTTTGGATTGACTGCTGCTGGTGCTTTCAAAAGCCCAGTGACAGCTTCTAAAAGTAATGCTGCTCCAGATTCCACAAAATCTGCATTTGGATCAACTGCATTTGGCTCAGGAAAAACTTCAAAATTTGCATTTGGCGCAGGACAAACCTCAAAATCTGCATTTGGATCGACTGGATTTGCCTCTTCCGCATCTGCCTCCTCTGGATTAGGTTCTACCGGATTTGCCTCTTCAGGGTTTGCCTCTTCCGGTTTTGGAACAACACAAAAGAATACTGAAACTACTGGTAACCTGAAGCTTACTTCAGGTTTTGGAAAGTTTAGCAATCAAAAACCAGCGACATTTGGCAGTGGTAATGGTGAATCCATATTTGACAATGACAAAAAGTCGTCGTCACCCTTTGGTCAACTATCTGGTTCGGCTACGCCATTTGGAAAAACAGAGGGTAAATCAGGCTCAATTTTCGATCAGAAACAGCAACCACCAGTTCAACCAAAACCGATGTTTGGACAAGATAGTGGCTCAAAAGCATCTGCCTCGCCTTTCTCTACGTTAAACAAGGATACAAAATCTGAAGGCTTTGACTATACAAGGCAAACTCCATATGCTGACCCTATGGAATCTTCTAAAGAATCTACGCCGACTCCATTTGGTTTTAATATGAAAGACAAGTCTAAGTCGTTGACAAAGGAGGGAAGTACACAGAGCCCTCATGAACCTTTATTTGGCAAGACTGAAACAGGTGACTTATCAGCTGCGTTTGGCGGATTGAACACCAAAGAGAAGCCAAGCGAGCCCTTTGGGTCTAGTTTCTCTGGTTTGAAAAAGACTGATGAGCCTTCGCCATTCGCCCTGTTGCAGAAATCAAATGCTCCATCGCCTTTTGCAAATTTAAACTCAACCCAAAAACCTGCTGGAGAAGATGAACATTTGCTGAAAGCCTCAGATGTGCATTTGCTGAAAGCCCCAGATGATCAATCTGATAAAGAAGCCAAGTCACAAACTAATGCTTCAAGCGGTGAGGAAGTTACAAATGAAGAGGAGGCATCAGCTGACGCGGGAATGGTAAACAAATTGTCGAAAGAAGCGACAGGCTCTCTGGATGAGTTTGATGCTACTGAAAACTACGATCTTTCCCAAGATGACGAAGAAGATGAGGTTGATGATCATAAATTCGTAGAAGATTCCGAGAAGTATGATTCATCGTGGGTGAATATCTCAAAGAATGATGCAAAGGGACAGATTATTGCGCAGTCGTTGGTCGACATTGAGCACGGAGGAGCTTGTGAAAATGTCGAAGCGAAAGAGAAAGCTGAAGAGGAACCCGTTGAAAAGTCAAGTGATGAACCCATAGAACCTGTTGAATTTTTGGTCTTTGATGGATTCTCTGCGTCGTTGGAGCAGAGTGATGATCCTATAAAGAATAAGATGCGCAACATCATTGCAAATACAGAGGGCAATTTGGAATTTTTGTTGCGAAACACTACGGCAGTTACCGCATATATAGATGCTCATAGTACGCCAGGAAAACATTGGCATGAAATTTCTGAGGTAGACAATTTGGAGATCAATAAAGATATGTACAAGGGGAAATTACAATACTTGCATGAAAAAGAAGATGAGCTTGTTGAATTGAATCGGAAATTACAACAAAGTCAATATCAACAACGAGTGCTTGACAGGTCATTCAGTCAATTGGTCTTGTTAGAGAAAGGATCCAACAAGAATTTGAAATTTCTCAAAAACAGGCCGTTGGAACCACGCAAACAGGAGATGAGAGACAAATTGAAAACAAAATTGGCCGATGTCGAATCGTTAGAATCGAAGTTGAGGACTTTGTTAATGCCTATCAAGGCTAAGAATTCATTAAACCTGTCGACAGTAGAAAAAATTGAAGAAATATTAATGCAACTAAATGATCAAGTTTTAGACCGAAAGCTCGCTTTGACCGAGTTGGAAGAAGAAATGAAGGATTTAGATTTGGAAGGAGGGTCGAAAAGTCTTTCTATTAAACCAGGGAGGGCGAAGCTTAATTGGAGAAACAGATTGAGAGCAATCAATTCGAAACAGATCACCTAATAACTGAGAAGTATGTTATATTATAGTATGTACCTTTATTCCTGCACATGATGTTTTATCTTTTGTTTACCTTTTTCTGATACATTTTTATTTCTTCTCTTTTTTTTTTTGGCATATGAACAAATCAGTAGACAAGCAGCTTTAGATTCCAATGTCTGACCTAACAGGTTTACGCGTTTCTATTCCAAATTCAAGTGGTCACGGATATATACGATACATTGGACCAATACTAAATAAAAATGGCGTGTTTGCAGGTCTAGAACTACAAGGATCATTAGCTACGTTAAGAGGGAAGAATTCGGGGTCTGTTGATGGAGTACAATATTTTACAGTCTCTGTGCCCAAAAGTGGTCTTTTCTTGCCTTATGAACGGTTGAGGAGTGTTAATATGCAGCTCCCTGATGTGAAGCTGATTGACTTTGGTGGGAATGCTACTGATGAGTTAACAAATTTGACAACGCCGATAAGACCAACACCAATGTCACGATTCAGTCCCATGTCTAAACCGCCGTATCACTCGGTGCAAAGGAGCAGTGCTAGGTTGAACCATCAGGGAAATGATCAAGTGGTGCCAACTCAGCCAAATTACAATTTTGACCACCGACGTGATTCAAATTGGAGCTTGGATCAGCAACAAAGTCAGGTGTCCACCACACCATTAAGATCACCACTCACCCCATCAAACACATACCACGAGGTTAAATTGAATCTACTAGACGACCAATTATACAAATCGGAAAATGGTCCTAATTACACAGAACAGATTGAGGAATTGAACAAGTTAATCAGGGAAAAGGACCGAAAGTTGGAGAACTTTAGCAAACAGAGAAAAGAGTGGCATAACGCTATGGATGATTTGATTGCGGTTCAGCAGGATGGGATAACAGTGTTTGAAGAGAAGATTCAAGAGTTGGAGGAAATTAATGAAAAACAAGTGAATGAAATTGAGACTCTAAAAAATAAGTTGAACTTGTCTGAGCAAAAAGTTGAGGAGATGGAAAAAGAACGTTCTGAATTGCAGTCAAATAAAGAGGCAGATGAAACGGCAGCAAAGGACACAATGAAAATTGAATCAATAGAGGAGACTTGCAGAAAGTATGAAGAACAAGTTGAAGAACTACAAAAACAATTGGCAATTGCAAATGAAGAAATTGCAACTTTGAAAGATCCTGGGTCCATAGGAAATCAGCACTTGGCTCCACCGCTTTCACTGCAGCGATTGATTTCAATATCAACCGCATCTTCCAACCTTGGTCATACTGGAACTAATGATTCAACAAAAGCTGTACAGCTTGATACCGACGAGGGGTTATCAGAAGTCATACAAGACTTGCCAGTATACAAGCCTTTCAAGTTGACTGATCCAAGTCAAGGAAAATCTAACTGGTGTGGGTTGTGTGAAAGAGATGGGCATAGCTCGATTAATTGTCCTTTTGAAAATGACATCTTCTGAGTGCTGTATGCGGGTGTCTAATTTGATCTTGTCTTTACATATCATTGCTGCAGATTGTATCGAAGTTCTTGAACTATTTCTCATTTTCCACGTAAGAAAACCCCTTATCTGTCTGTCTCGCACGATGTATGAGGAATCTTTTCCAACATGACCACTACGAAACTATATCAAATCACGTTTCAACTAACCTCTTTAGCGTCAATCTCTTTTTCCCCACTTACAATCGGTGTAAAGAATTTCTTGCTGTACTCGGCTGTATCAAAAAATATTACCGAGAAAGTGTCGATCTCCACGAAAAAGTTGAAGGCTTGTAAAATAGAAAACGGCGTTGCAGCGGAAAGAAAAAAAGCTTATTCAGACACGCAAAGGCTCGTAGCAAATAGGTTTGGTGAAACTAGTCATGGGTAAACCAACTGTACGTACCATCCAAAATCTGCTTAACAATGAAACTGTACTAACTTTCAAATAATACAGTATATTCTTATCATACGACATGGGGAATCCGAGGGCAACTGTGACAAGTCGGTAAATTCATATACGCCCAATCATCTTGTTCCGTTAACTACCAAGGGCCATTACCAGTCTCTTGAAGCTGGTAGGACCTTGGCTAAATTTGTCCAGCATCATGCCGTAAAGAACACAAGCAGTAAACGCAGTCGCAAATCGATCATGTTTTATACTTCGCCATATCTACGAACAAGACAAACTTGTAATAACATTATCGAGGGGATTAAAGATGAACCAGGGATTGAATACCGAGTACAAGAAGAGACACGAATGCGAGAACAGGACTTTGGCAATTTTCAGAAATCAAAGGAAGAAATGGAACAGATTTGGGAGGAGAGGGCACATTATGGACATTTCTTTTATCGAATACCGCATGGAGAGAGTGCTGCTGATGTATACGATCGAGTTGCTACATTCAATGAAACATTGTATCGCCAGTTCAAGTCTGACGATTTTCCAAACATATTGGTTTTGGTCACTCATGGGATCTGGTCGAGAGTCTTTCTTATGAAATGGTTCAAATGGACGTATGAAGAGTTTGAGTCGTTGAAGAACATCCCCCATTGCCAATATTTGATTATGAAGAAGGACCCTAAAACGCAAAAGTACCATCTAAAGACAAGGCTCCGCACATGGGAAGATATGGACGATACTTGGATGCAGCACGAAGTGGTTAAGGAGTTTGGAGATGAGTTTGATTGTAAAAATATAGGAAAAGAATTGGACGATGAAGAGATTGATGCCCTTGTCGATGCTCAAAAAGAAGTCATCAATTCCACCAAACTGAAGGATAAGAAGATTGAAGAGACATATAGGAACTTTCAAGCGCGGGGATTAGGTCGAAATGGTGGCTCCAGGTTTAAAGTAGATAACCAAAGCGTTGCAAATAGTCAGGAAAGTCTTGCTCAATCACCTTAGATATAGATCAAAATAGAAAAGACATTTGAAAACACTGTCGTCGTTTTACCTCTCTGTTGCAAAATCATGTGTTTCTCCAGTGAAGCGAACTTTTCCGCATCACATTCACCCTCCCCGGAAAAGTTCGTTGCGTTGAAAATTGGTAACGACACTACTCTTTCGCCCTTTCATGCCCGAGGGCCATAAACTTTGTCTCCAATTTGTTGAAAATTACATAAAAGGTTGCCAATTTTTCCATCAAATTTCTATTCTTCTTTTCTGCTATTGCAAAAGCACATCAAAAAGATATATAAAACGCACATACACAGATACAATGGCTCGTCAATTCTTTGTTGGAGGTAACTTTAAAGCTAACGGAACCAAATCATCCGTCAAATCAATCATTGATAACTTGAACAAGCAAGATTTACCAAAAGACGTACAAGTTGTCATTGCTCCACCATCATTGTACCTCGACTTAGCAGTTGAGGAAAACAAGCAACCAACCGTTGAAGTTGGTGCCCAAAATGTTTTCAACAAAGGAACTGGTGCATTCACTGGTGAAATCTGTGCTGAACAAGTTGTTGATCTCGGCGCCAAGTGGACATTGACTGGTCACTCTGAAAGAAGAACAATTCTTAAAGAAAGTGATGAATTCATTGCTGAAAAGACCAAGTACGCATTGGACAATGGTTTGAGCGTTATCTTGTGTATTGGTGAAACCTTGGACGAAAGAAAGGGTGGCATCACCTTGGACGTTTGTGCTAGACAATTGGACGCTGTATCCAACATCGTCAAGGATTGGTCCAAGATTGTTCTTGCTTACGAGCCAGTCTGGGCAATTGGTACCGGTTTGGCTGCTACTCCAGATGATGCAGAGGAAACACACAAGGGAATTAGACAACACTTGGCCAAGACCATTGGTCAAGATCAAGCTGAAAAATTACAAATCTTGTACGGTGGTTCAGTCAATGGTAAGAACGCCACTGAGTTTAGAGATAAAGTCAACATTGATGGATTCTTGGTTGGTGGTGCTTCATTGAAGCCAGAATTTGTCGATATTATTAAGTCTAGATTATAGTGTATTTAGCGAATCTAACATGTTCGACTTGATTTGAGACGATTCTATGTGTTTGTAGTTGTTGATTTTTTGAAATATACCTGTAAGGTGGGCAAAATATTCTGATTTTTTGCCCAGTAAGAAATATCTATCAATGCCCATGTCACTTTCAGTCAAGATTTCCGAGCCATCAAAGTGCTCGACGAGCAATTTCAACAACTCATCTTTTTCCCCATTGATCCAATCGGATAATGAGAAGTAGAGCTTGACTGGAGTTGTCTTTAGCCACCTTTTGGCTTGGTCGGTTGAGCCTGTGTATGAATGGAGCACCACCACTATGTTTTTATATCGTGTCACTTCATCGTACAACACACCATGCGCCTTGACGCAGTGAATGGATGCTTGCTTGCCCAACTCCTCGGCTAGTTGTAGCTGGTGCCTAAAGATGTGCATCTGGTGTTCTATCGTTACTCGTGATTTGGTTAGTCGATCTTGCTCCGTAGTGACATGGTGGGGATTGCCTAGCCAGCCCAGTTTGGGAACTCGAAACAACTTGTCTAGCCCAATTTCACCGATTCCGTAAACCTTCTTATCATGTTTCTTGATAATTTCCTTCATTTTATCTGTGTGTGCGTTCATGCTCATTGGTTCTGGCAAAACATCAATTAACTCGTCGGTTGGCTCTGGTTTTAGAACTTGGCAATAATGATCTCTTTTATTTGGTTTCGTGCCAGTGTAGAATAAGTGACTGAACCATGGGTGTACTCCAAAATACGGCACCACGATGTCTGGGTTCTGTAATTGAGTTAGCAAGATGTCGATACACTCAATATCAATATGTTGTGTAGTCATCAAGTGGAAAAAGTTTGTGGGGAAATCCAAATCAAGACCATTCAAGGTATCGGCGAGCTTGTAAGCATCTTCTCGCGTTGCTTCAGGACTAAAGTGGCAGTGGTTGTCGGACAAGTTGTACAAGGGCTCGTGCAACTGTTTCTTAGTCATGGTCTGAAGAAGCAGCAAGCTAAGTAAATCTGAGTTTCAATTTTCTACCATTTTTTCGTAGTGGGGCACATTCTTCTTAAGCGGAGTTAACCTGCCAATTGCCCCTTAATAGTAAACAGTCGTAATATTTCGTTGTCTACGCGTAATTTCTATATAGTAGTAGCCTTCATTTGAAGGGGATTGGTTGGGCGTACGGTCTTGGCAAACTACAATGTTGTCCCATCGGTGGCTAGAGAAAATGAGTTCGCCGACTTTATAGTATACAAACCACAAAGAATCTTCGTTCGATTAACATACCATCCAATGTCATTCATAAATAAGCCTATTTCCTCAAAGCCAATTGTTACATTTCCATCGTGTGAATAGAGAGCATGGCTCTTCCACTAGCCATACTACACCCTTGCAGAAAAATAGACTCGGACACTTCTTCGCAAACTCAAAACAAAAAAAAGCAAAACAAAAAAGAACAAAACAAAAAAAGAACAAAAAAACAAAAAAAAAGATGTCAGAGAACCAATCCATTATCAAACAAGCGCTACAAACACCTATATACTAATCTTTAAAACCATATTTCCTCGAATAAACACGGAATAACTATTACAATCAATTCATCCCCCTTCCCCCCAACAATCGGTGAAATGTCGGAACTGACACCAATTACGCTACCTTTGTCAGCTCCATTCCCCGTGATTATCTCATCAATACAATGCAAGAAAGGAGACACCATTTCCAAGCACGAGACTATTTTCAAATACAAGTACTGGGTATACCAAGATGATCCCAATTCGAAAGAAGACCCGCCGAAAAAGATACGTGCTGAATGTATTGGTACTTTTGAAAGCCCTATAGAAGGAGTAGTTGAATCGATCGATATTCATGCTCAAGAAGAAGTCACGCATAGTGAAGTTGAAATATTGCACATAAAGGAGGCGTGTGCACACACAGTGCAGTATGGTGGGTTATGTGCTTTGTGTGGGAAATCACTTGAAGAAGAACGTGATTACTCGGGATACGACTATGAAGACCGAGCAACGATAGCCATGTCGCATGACAATTCCGGGTTGAAGATCAGTTTTGACGAGGCGGCCAAGATTGAACATAGCACCACTGATCGGTTGAATGAGGAAGAAAAATTGATCTTGGTTGTTGATTTAGATCAGACGGTGATTCATGCAACAGTTGATCCTACAGTTGGCGAGTGGCAACTGGACCCTTCAAACCCAAACTATCCGGCGGTGAAGGATGTCAAGACGTTTTGTTTAGAGGAGGAGCCCATTGTACCACCAGGATGGACGGGCCCAAGATTAGCTCCCACCAAGTGTTGGTATTATGTCAAGGTGCGACCAGGGTTATCGGAGTTTTTGCAAAAAATGGATACAAAGTATGAGATGCATATATATACAATGGCAACAAGAAATTATGCGTTGGCAATTGCTAAAATAATTGACCCAGAGGGCAAATACTTTGGTGATCGAATCTTGAGTCGTGATGAGAGTGGATCACTTACGCATAAAAACTTGAAGAGATTATTCCCTGTTGATCAATCGATGGTTGTGATAATTGATGATAGAGGTGATGTATGGCAATGGGAAAACAATTTGATTAAAGTGGTACCGTATGACTTTTTTGTTGGTATTGGTGATATCAATTCCAGTTTTTTGCCAAAGAAAAATGGTCAATTAACGGGGCCTATAAAGAAGAGAAAGTCAATTGCTAAATTAGAAGCTGCAGCTGAAGTGAGCAAGGAGGAAGAAGAAGAAAGAGAAAGAGAAAAGGCAAAACAAGAGGCGGCCAAACTACGAGGGGGTGAAACGAATGGTCAGCAAGAACAATCACCAGAGAATTCACCCAATACGGTGGATAGAATTATTGAGTTGGGTGGCGGCGAAGGCAATACCAATTTGTTATTGGAACAGTCAATTACGCGGAATCAGTCTATTGAGCAACAGCAGCATGACCGACCTTTGGCCAGGCTACAACATGATTTGGAACAGTTGCAAGAGAAGTCGGATGGGGAGAAATCGTCGCATTCGGAAGATGGCGAAGATGAAGAGGAGGATAATTTGTTGTACGATGATGACAATGAACTTAGCTCGCTTACCAAGGTGTTAGACAATGTCCATGAGGAGTATTATAACTTGTATGATGATACAAGAGCCAAGTTACATAGCATTAAGCCTGATTTGACCAAGATCATACCACGTATGAAGAGTCAATGCTTACAAGGAGTGACTATACTATTTTCAGGAATTATACCACTTGGTGTCAATATCGCTTCCGCCGATATTGTCATTTGGTGTAAGCAATTTGGCGTCAAAGTTGTCAATGAAGTGTATCCCGAAGTAACGCATGTCGTATGTCGTGATGTTTCTCCAGAAGCAGGGCCAACGTTTAAAGCTAGAGTTGCACATAAGTTGTATCCTGATTCTATTAAAATTGTTAACCCTGACTGGTTGTTTTGTTGTTTAAGTATGTGGACCAAAGTTGATGAAGAAGATTATTTGGTATCTACTGCTGATCCCAAGTTGTGGTATGTCAAGCAGGCTGAGATTGAAAAGTATAAAAAGAGATTAGAAGACGCTAGGCAGACAGATGACTTTGAGATAAATGATGCATTAAGTGGCGGCGGGTTGAATGAAGGTAGATCCAATTCAGTAAATTCAATTGAAGATTATGGCTTAGATGAGGCTGATCAGGAAGTTGATGACTTCTTAGCTGGACTTAGCGATGATGACGATGATGATGATGATGGGGAGATTAACAATGGAAATAATGCAGGAGGAGGAGGAGAAGAAGAAGAAGAAGATGATGATGATGATGAGGAAGTCACTGGTACTTCTGCTGGACATGATTCATTTATACGAGACATGTACAAGAAAAAGAGAACAACCACAGAAGTGGAAGAAGAAGGGGAAGAGAAAGAAGAAGAAGACGGTAGTAACCAAGAAGACGTGATGGATGTTGATGATAATAGTAATAATAATAATAAGAAGAAGCGCAAGGTCGATTCAAGTAATAGTGGTGATAAGTTTGATGAGGTTGACATTGATGATTTAGAGCAAGCGTTACTTGATGGATTTGATGATCTTGAGGAGTAACTTGTGTTATTATCTTTTATAGTTCTTACTAATAGTCTTCTTTATCTGTAACAATACAACAAATTCAATTCTTAAACATCACAAGAGTGGAAAGGTAATTGAATTGGTGGTTGCTAATTTTAACCGAGCTTTTGGTGTTGTGTAGGTTTTGTCAAAATACGAAAAATTATGACGTCTGTTGTGATTTAGTTACACAAACATGAAAAGCTCGATCACTATGCAGGATACGCGTCTGAGCCAGCCACCCAGCCACGCAATATTGTTTAATTTCTTTTTTTAGTAACAACAAAAGTATTTGACGATTATCAATAATGAATGACGTTTGAAAAGACAAGAGGTGATTGATATATTATTTGCTATCAGCATAAGTGGAGAGTAAAGAGTGAAGGAGAGGGAGATAAGTAGAAATGTGTGGTGTAGTAGATTCCAACCAATATTAACGAGTATCTAAAAAGTTTAGTTGGGTTGTCTGTGTATGTGTAATTACAAGAAACCTCGAATTTGACACCAACTAAGCCAACAAACCCACAAGCCAATCAAGAAAGCACCCCATACAAAAATAAAAACAGAATCATATGTCATATAATATAAGCCCCTGTCTTTTTTTTCTGACGTCTTTGTTATGTATGTGTGTGTGTGTGTGTGTCGATATATAAGCTAACAACAGTGAGGTTAAGCTTTTCCTATATAAAATAGAAATATTAAGAAAATTAGATTTACTATTTTGGAATTGAGAGAATGGTGGATGATGAAAAGAAAAGTAAAAGAAGACGTTGAGGGCGGAGTGTTTTCTGCAGGGGAAGAGGAGAGGAAGGGGGAGAGGGAAGGGGGAGAGGGAAGGGGGAGAGGGAAGGGGGTGGAAAAGGTGTCATTTGTAATTTATTTCTTAAAATACAGCCTCCATTTATTTATAGTTTGCTTCTTCTTTTTGACCTTGGATCATTTATTTTTTTTTTTATATTTTGGTCTCAAAGTAATATAGAAGTTATATGAAGTGTAATTGAAAAGTAATCTCTATTAAAAAGTTTAACTCATACGTACATACATTATGATGAAATTGTTTCTAAAGATAGAACAACAGTAAAACAATTTGATGAATGATTTTGTGTAATGTAAAATTTTATTTACACAATTGAATTCTTTATAAATATATATATATCATCATAACCAGCAATAACAACAAACAATAAACAACAAACAACAACTACGAGAAGTAGAAGATAGTTCTACTCACTTCAACTATCATTTCATAAACATCTACTGTCACCTTATTCTATTATTTATTAAACCACCGTCTTCCCCCCCCCACATTCCACTATGGCTAACATCTGTTTCAGATTCATTATTGTATTATTTTCCCTCGCGTGTCTAGTGCTTACTGCATTTGCACTATCAGGATCATATACAAATAAATCCTATTTGACACCAACATATCTTATAAACTTTCACTTGAATAAATTGGATTTACGACAAATTATTAGTTCCAGTATTGGAAGCAACAGCAACAAAAAGAGAGCTGACGAAACTACATCAACATCAACCCCAACTGCAACTGCAACTGCTACTACATCAGGCTCAGTTCCTTCAAATGTTCAACAATGGATCGATGCTGCAAGTAGCTTGGCTGGAAGCTTACCATCGGACTTGGGTAGTGCTGCTTCTGCATTGGGAACAAATTTACCCTCTTCGGTGCCTAGTGACGTTGCATCAGCTTTATCATCGAGTCTTCCTACTGGTGATATTGAGCTGGCCGTTTCTGCTGCCATTGCTAACTTGTTGAGTAGTGTAACCCCAGAAGAATTGGGAATTGCCGATATCTATTCCGTAAGTTACTGGGGATATTGTCGTGGAGATTTGAAAAGTAACAAATCAGAGGTATATGATGATGCTTTAGGAAGAACTGTTATTGAAAATTTCGAAAATTCAAATATCGATTATACTTGGTGTTCAAGTCCCAAAGCAGGATATTTTTTCGATCCTGCTACGGTTATTAGAGAAGAATTGAATAGAACCATTGAAGGAGATAAAATTGATGCTCAGGCGGGATTAATTGATGGGTTATCTGCTCAAGACATTGATGACTTGAGAGTGTTGGTTAATAATATTGCTGATGAATATATAAACTTGCCTGGTGATTTGCAAAACGACTTAACACTTTTGAATAATGTCACCACGGCATCATTCGCCTTGATGATTATTGCTGCTGCGTTGTCCTTCCTTGTGATTGTATTTCAACTTATCGCCATGTGTCTTTCGCCCGACAATTGTTGCTTGTCGTTTCTCAATTTTTCGCTACAACTACTCACGTTCCTTACTTCGATATTATCAGCAGCTCTTGCCACTGGTGCTTATGTGTTTGTCAGAAGAAAAGTCAATGATGAGGTGGGCGAGTATGGTATCAAATCGTTCTTGTCAATAAACTTTTATGCTTTTGCTTGGTCTGCAGCTGTTGCTGCATTCTTGGTTGTGGTGTTTAGCGCAATTGGTCACTGTTGTGGCTGTTTCAGTGGTGGAAGAAGAGGAAGAAGATACAAGGAAGTTTCAGCATATGAACATAAAGGTGAGTATTGAGAGGATTAGAAGAGTCTCCACCTACTTTTGACGATTAGGGAGTGGATTGTGGAAAGTAATTGTTTCGGAGTCGGTGATTATACGGTATCTTTTTTTCTTTATATATTCTATAATAGTGTTCTTATTTAATCAATTATGGCGGTTTTTTGACTCTCTAGAGCAAAGATTGTGTCTATGTAAACCCCCACATCAAGTTTACACTCTTGGAATGCTTCGAAGCTTCTGAGGAAGTGTGTGTGTGTGTGTGTGTGCGTGTGCAGAAAAAAAAAAAACTTTAATTAAAGCATCTCCGGAATTGCAACAACTGTAAACAACACAATTCCAGTCCATCGACATGATCTGTGCAATCTCGGGAGAGGAAGTGAAGGACCCAATTGTATCGCCAAAAAGTGGCGCCGTGTTTGAACGGAAATATATTGAAAAATATGTCAGTACCAGTGGCACCGATCCCATCAACAACCAACCATTGACGATTAACGAACTCATTGCATTGCAAGTTCCTGCCAACTCCACAACCAACATTGTGCCACCAGTTAATAGTCTCACATCTATACCTGGTATGCTATCTACATTACAAAACGAATACGATGCCATGGTTTTAGAAATTTTCACACTTCGGAAAAACCTTCAGTCATTGAAACAGGAGTTGAGTGCTAGTTTGTACCGACAAGATGCTGCTATTAACGTGGCGGCTAAAGCGATAAGGGAAAGAGATGAGGCAAAGGAAGCATTGGAAAATTTGGTGAGATCATTGGAAGTAAAGAAGGATGGAGAAGAAGTAGAAGACGAGGATAGTGGCGACAAGATTACTGATATACAGCCAGCAAGAGATGAATTATTCAAGCTGCACAAGACTCTAAAGGTTAAATTCCCATACAAGTTTGACCATTTCAAATTAAAGAATGAACACACGACGGAAAAAGTGTTTGACGTGTCTGTTGACCTTGTCCAATTTCACACATCCACCAAAGTTCTTCTAGGTACCCATAAAAATGAAGTTATGCAATACAACGTAGTGAGCACAAAATTGGATGTGTGGAAAACGGAGTTGAAAACAATAGGTCTTGTGGCATACAACAATAATGGTATACTCGCAGCAGCAACAGGTCGAAAAGTAACATTTTCGACAGGAACTTCAGTCACAATAAAGAGGAAAATTTCAACCATCCACTGCCATCCTTCATTGAACCTCTTTGTTTTGACGAGTTCGGGTAATTGGTATATTGCAAACACAAACAAGATCCTAGCGACATATGAAACTGAGTCTGACTTTATCAAGGGCGAGATACATGGCGATGGAGAGATTTTTGCCGCTTATGATGGCAACAAACTCAAATTGTTGAGTTTAGTATCCGGCGATGAACTAGCTGCTTATGATATTGGCAATACACAACACGTGCAACAGATTGCCTTCGCTCCTAATGGGTATTGGCTACTAATACTATCAACTTCCAGCGATGCAAACGCGATACAGATTTATGATTTGAGGAAAAACATTGAGGTTAACAAATTGACAATCGCAAAGGAGCGACTGGTGCAGAACTTTACCATTGATCCATCGTCTAGTTTGATTGTGGTTCAGACCGACTCAGGATACTTGACTTTGTCGTATCTGAAGAAAACAAAAACGTGGAGTGAGATTGAACCCTTGCTGTTGGATGGAGTTGTTCCTGATGGGAAACAAGACATGTTTGTTTATTCTACTGGCGATGATGTGTTGAATGATGGAGAGGTAAAGTATATACACTACAACTTTGGACAAGACAGGTTGGCTTTGGAGAAGTTGGCTGAAAAATAAGGAAATGTATAGGTTGCAACTTTTTGACTAACTTAGACGAAATTTCAATCTAGACTCTGGTGCGTGTAGGACCCTCCGGCTATTATACCATAATGTAGATTGATGTGTATTTTGTGCTGTCAGTTTTTTTCTTCTCTCTGCGAAGATCTACAATCAAACTCTTTCTTTGACTTCCGTTAACCCTAACGTCCTTGAACAACAAATGTCAGCCATATCGCATGACAAGCTTGAGAAAATCGCTCAATACTGGGTATCAATTGACCCCAATGAAGAAACAAGAAGAGAAATACTGAATCTCCTCAAAGACAAACAATATGACAAACTACAACGCAAACTATATCCTCGTATAGCATTTGGAACTGCTGGATTGAGATCATCTATGGAATCTGGCTTTGCCCATATGAATGATGTGACTATTTTGCAAGCGTCTCAGGGGCTTGTTGAGTACCTTTTGGGTAAATTCACCAATCCGTCAATCGTCATTGGATACGACCATAGGTTTCACTCACAACGATTTGCTGAGATTTTAGCCAGTGTTGCATTAATCAAGGGCTTCACGGTTTATTACCTTGGATCCACGGCAAACTTGTCACAGGAGTCTTTGAAGTTGTACCAGGGTAATGATTTTCAAAATGACAATGATGCCAGTAGAGAATTTGTCCATACGCCATTAGTTCCATTTGCAATTGACCATTTGAACGCATCTGGTGGTGTCATGATTACTGCATCGCATAATCCAGCCAATGATAATGGATACAAAGTCTACTATGCCAATGGTTGTCAGATTATCCCGCCTCAGGATGGTGATATTGCACAATCTATTGAAGATAACTTACAGCCATGGAGTGATAGGGTTTGGCATATCGTTGAAAATTTTGCCAGTGGATTGGAAAACAACAAGTTGAAATGTATCAAGCATGAAATTGTGAAGCAGTATGTTGCTGCCGTTAACGACAAACTAGTCAAGCAAACCCGGCTTGATTTTGATTTTGTTTATACGCCAATGCATGGAGTGGGGTTGGAAATATTTGAGCAATGTATCAAACTATTTGATACAAAGCATTATAGTGTTGTTGCAAAACAGAGTGTGCCCGATCCGTCCTTCCCAACAGTCAGTTTCCCCAACCCGGAAGAAAAAGGAGCGTTGGATTTAGCAATTGAACAAGCAGAGCAAACAGCTTCAAACTTGGTCATTGCCAGTGACCCCGATGCTGATCGTTTCAGTATTGCCGTTGCTGGTAAACAGAAAGGTAAGTTTAGGCAATTGACTGGTAATGAAATTGGCTTTTTATTTGCCATGTATGTGATTGAAAATCTAGATAGGGCCAAATTATCTAATACGTACTTGTTAAACTCTACTGTGTCGTCACAAGTGTTGAAATCAATGGCAGAGAAAGATGGGTTCAATTTCATTGACACATTGACGGGGTTCAAGTGGATTGGGAATAAGGCAATAGACTTGGAAAAAGACGGCTATTTTGTTCCATTTGGATATGAAGAAGCAATTGGGTTCATGTTTGATCTTGTTCATGATAAAGATGGTATATCTGCTGCTATTGTATTCTTGCAATTGTATCAGCAATGGTTCAGCAGTGGGGAAGTGAATGTTTTAGACAAACTTGAACAAGGATATAAAAAGTACGGGTGGTTTAAAGATTTAAATGGATACTATCGATTGAGTGATGTTAGCGTGACTCCACAAATATTCAAATCGATAAGAGATTCCTATACCAGGCACGACTTTCCTCAAAGTATCGGCAACTTTAAGGTCACCTCCTGGCGTGACTTGACTGTGGGATTCGACTCATCCATGCAGGACCACAAACCAGTGTTACCCATCGACCCACACTCGCAAATGATCACGGCAGTTCTTGAACCGCATGAGAAACCTACCAATGATCAGGATCTATCAGTTCGATTTACGTGTCGTGGATCAGGAACGGAGCCTAAATTGAAGATTTACATTGAAGGCAAGTCTAGTACTAGTGAAGCAGACGCGTTGAAGATTGCTGACGATTGCTGGGAAACATTAAAGAAAGAATGGTTTAGGCCGAAGGTGTATGGATTGGAGGAAGTGAAGCCTTAGATTAGTATAGATTGATAAATGAATAAAGACTTTTACTTTGACTACTTTCTTTCTCTATGAATTGGCAGTAAATCTGTGGTTCTCGTGTATTTGGTAGCATTTACTTGGCAAATCTGGAAAAAAAAGAAGTTAAAAGAAAAAAAATAAAAAAAAAACATTCAAAGTTGTCACTAAATTTACGAAAACATAGTGGAAATCATCGGCACTTGTTTAAAAAAGTACTATTTAGTCTACAACTATTGCCATTACCCACATTTCAATCTGCATCTGTATAAAACATTACACTACAACGACTAGTAAACCATCTAGCCGATGTCGTTACCAAGTTTGACGCCTGATCTTTATGGCACCAAGAAGAATACTGGTTTACCAATGTATGTTAAAGCCACTTCCTCGTCTTTCTTTCACGTCATGTCTCCTTACGTTGATACTAACCCTTTATTAACTAGATTCAACAAATTCACCCCCAGGAAGCAGTCAAATCGCACCCTAATTAAAAAAGTCTTGTATGTACTTGTCGCTTTACTACTCACCTACACCATTTATTCCAAAATTATCGTTGGTGACAAGAGCCCGAAACTTCCACCATTTGCAAAGTCGGACATAGAAAAAAACATAGAGCTAGAAATAGAGCTTCAGCGACAACAACAGGAAGAGGACCAGCTCAATGATGACCATCAGACGTTTAAAGTTACCAAAGACGGAGTACAAGAAGTTACCGATCCAATGGAGATTACCACCGATGATTTGAAAAAAAGCAACGTGGAATACTTTGACTTGAATGATTATCAAGGGTCCTCTGATGGAAACAGCAAGGGCGATGTTGTGCTTTTCCTTATGCCTTTAAGAAATGCTGAGCATGTATTGCCTATGGCTTTTTACAATTTGATGAATTTAACCTACGACCACCTGTTGATAGATATTGCATTCCTTGTATCTGACTGCTCCCCCGATGACACCACTTTGGAAACTGTATTTAAGTATTCAATGGCGTTGCAGAATGGAACTTTGGTTGATTTATTGAAAATAGAGGAGCAACGACAAAATGGAGCTCAAGTCAAGGGCTCAAATGATTTGTATCAGTCATACATGGAACCCTCATATATGGAAAGTGTCAGAAAGGCGTATAGTAACCCAGAAACCCATCACAAAAACTACAGGACTCCTTTCAGATCGGTCACCATCTTCAAGAAAGATTTCGGACAAGTGATTGGACAGGGGTTTAGTGATCGTCATGCAGTTAAAGTCCAGGGTATACGGAGAAAACTTATGGGTAGAGCCAGAAACTGGTTGACATCTAGTGCATTGCGGGCAGATCATTCTTGGGTGTATTGGAGAGACGTTGATATCGAAACATGTCCAGGAAATGTTATTGAAGAGCTTATGCTGCATGATTACGATGTCATGGTTCCCAACGTCTGGCGCCCCTTGCCCACTTTTTTGGGCAATGAACAACCTTACGACTTGAACTCGTGGATCGAGTCAGACGCAGCTTTGGATCTTGCAAAGACTTTGGCTGAAGACGATGTCATTGTCGAAGGATATGCCGAGTACCCCACATGGCGTGCCCACTTGGCGTACATTCGTGATGCCAATGGTAACCCCCGTGATGTGATTGATTTGGATGGAGTAGGAGGAGTATCCATTTTGGCGAGAGCTAAGATCTTTCGCCAAGGAGTTCATTTCCCAGCGTTTACATTCTTGAATCATGCCGAAACTGAGGCGTTTGGGAAAATGGCGAAAAAGATGGGGTTCCGCGTTGGTGGGTTGCCGCATTACACAATTTGGCATATTTATGAGCCAAGTGAGGATGATTTGCAGAAAATATCGAAATTGGAGAGAAGTCGAAGGAGGAAAGCTAAACATGGTGATTGATATAGATTTTGTATAATAAAGCACATAAAATAGAAGATGATATAAGCAACTTGCGGAGTAGGCGGCTTCACTGATCCACATAAATGGCGCATTGTTTCTCAGTCTTTCCAGTGGGTGCCATATGTTTGTCTTGGTTACATCGGGCAAAAATAATAACCCCTTTCCCTCTTTTTAAAAATAAATCAATTTATACATCAGTAGGAAGGCAGGATTTTTTAATCCACGTAATTATATCGTTTGACATAAATTACATTCAGAGATTGTTCACTCATCCATTTTAATTCATCATAATATAAATTATTAGTTAATCCACGTAAAACTTTTTAGCGTTTTTGGTCCCCTTTCCGTTTCATGGCGAATCGAACCCGACAATTTTTAGCAAGAGCGAAAATCTCTTGAAACTGTCAATATGGCTCAACATAGGAGTCCAATACGCCATCGGGGTCCAAAATTTTTTCAATTAGATTATATAGGGAAGGGATTCTGGTTATAGTGGCACGTGAGATTGAAATTTTGCAACCATCAATTCCTCTCCAGTTGAAAAATTCAAGCTTTTTCTAATACATAAGAATATTCACTTCTTCGCAGTCTCGTTCTAATTAATTTCCACCATTTTTTGAATACCTTTTCGATTGTTTTCACTTTTTCTCTCCTCCACTACATATTTTGGCTTAGTTTTGGACAGAAGTAAATCCATTTCATTTATTAAATACACTATAAAATCGGTAGCCAAAACAGAAAGCGCATGACGTATATTGGAATCTCAAGGGTAATTACCTTTTCTGGGTCCAAAATAGCCACCCGGTGCATCGGCCACATCCAACCTTGACCCAGAAGTTCTCATTTCATAATCCAATCCTGCAGTGGCTACCGAGTTTCCCCACCAGTTGAGATCTATTTCATGGTATTGCACTGCAAAGTAAATGATGATGGAAGAAAAGGCAATACCGGCATCAATACCAGACCCTAAAAGATAGCTGTACTTTTGCCACCAAGCTTCGTACTTGTGTTTCACATGGTGCATCATTGCGTAGCCCAAGTACACACCACCAGTACTATAAGATAAATTCCCTGGAGCCCAACTAGTAAACCCACCCAAGAATACAGCAGGTTCAAAGTACTTGATACGATTTCTTGGCGCCAACTTCTTTATAGCCACACAAACTAAACCACCAAGGAAGCCAATGAGGAAACAATACTTTAAGACAGGGTACAAACCCCCCAAACACTCTCTTTGGTCCAATTACTCCCCCATGTAATGGAGGCGTTGTAGTATGTATTTGTATCGTAACAAAAGAACATTTGCTTGTTATTAGGATCACAATAATCCTTGATACCGGTGATCTGATAGTTCAAAATAGCTAATTGGATAAAAGCGGTAACTAGTGGACTATTCCAAATACAAAACAAACCATCCACTTTTCAATTCCTTGTTTCTGATGATGATTGTTGCCTCTAAAATAGTCAAGTATCATATTTCCAATCGAATGAATAACATGGATCATGTAATTTGGGAGTCAAATTTGCATTTCTTATATCACCTAAACATATAATCTTGCTCAAGTCATGTGTTTGAGAAAAGATGTGGAATGTTTACTGCTATTTATATTTTTTGGTTTTGGTATTAATTGTCTATAAATTTATACAAAAACTACATAGATGATACAAAGAGAAAACACAATTAACAGCTAACATATAAACTGAAAGCCCAACTTTAACGGTTTGTATACACATATAATCTATTACGCTTCTGTAAGTCTGTTTGAAAAAGTTGAGCTCTTGAATTTTGTGTAATAATATCTTCCCTTCAATTGTCTTCTCACTTTTTCATATGTTATCTTTTTAGATTCACTTTTTGTCAAGACAACTTGGTAACATTTTTGGAAAAGAAAAGCATGACCAAATATATCTCATACTGAGTGCCTGTATTATGTGTTATAACTAAATGATGCTATACAGCTAGTAAGTAGTAGAAGCATACCTATTGCTGAGACAAGTCACGTGGCAGGACAACGTACCATATTGAGTAATTAGTAAAGATGATTGAAGTAAGGTATTCGTAGAAGATCTGGCTACGTAGGGAGCGTTAGAAGATATCCGTAAGAAGGTAGGCGCTTGTTTAGCCCTGGAAATGAGATGGTAAGTCAGGCTGCGTACCTTCACGGTTTAGGCTTTTTGTGCTGCTCTTTTTATACTATTAATTAACTAAAATATAGAACTTTCATTCCCTCTTGGGACAGAATGAACGAGTTGTAGAAAATATATATCATTTATCTCGAAGTACATTGAGCACTTATAAACGGGACACACAATGTATTCTACCACTTGTAACGCATTGCATAGGTTTTAAAAGCTCAAGCTCAACTACTTCTAGTACCGTGACAATAAATAGAATATGTTTGGATATATAATGGGAATGTTGAAAACACCAAATGAAGAATCTGTATATTGGATCCTATTTGTGTCGTGTCACGTATAAGTTACGACAATACAAGTCCACAATAACATCATATCGACAATCGAGATCGGAGTTCATTGCTCCTAAAACTGAATTATAGTTTTGTTTCAAACTAAATTCTTCAAGGCTGAAAGAAAAATCCACAAAACACGTCCTAAAACATCCAAAAGTTGATACAATTTTTGCTTATTAAGACGTATTTGTGTGCCAAAAACACAAAGAGAGAAAACCGCTGTTACGTTAGTAAGAAGTTCTGTAGATCACATATTGTTGAAAAATTGAAACACGATATGAATGGTTGATGATCATTAGGGAGGGAAGCGTTTGGGTTTAAAACTGGGAAAGTTTTATTGGTTATGAGCCTAAAATCTTATTATTACTTCCTCACGCGTCAAAAGAAATTAGACCTTGCAGCGTTTGAGTTCATCCAATTACATAAATCTAGTGTCTCTCTGAGTTGCTACTAACAACTGCTAAAAGTATTAGAGGTCAATTATGAACATAAAACAATATCCTTCAAGGTAACTTTACAATCGAAAATTCTTGCTAGATTTACGGAAAAAAGACAAAACAAAATTTTAAATCGGATTAATTTTTTCTTTCTTTTTTAAAGTTATTGTATGCAGTATACCACTTTTTGTGCAAACACGAGCTTTCACCAGCATGTATACGAAAAGAGGAAAACTGTACCAGCTGAGTGTAAATTTGTAAGAGTAAGTGGAGAACAACTGGAAAGATATGTTTGAGTATGCGATCGTTTATACGCAACAAAAAAGGGGAAATTTTTGTGACTATTCTCCACTTTAGGAGTGAATATGGGTTGCAAGACAAGAAAACTTCCGAAGAGGACATCACTTTACTTAAGGTTGGGAGAGCACCAGGCGTAAATTGAAATAGAGTAAACAAAGGGATACGTAAAAATAGTAGTCGGTGATAGGGCGGGGTGAAGGAATGAAGGGGAGATGAGGGAGGTGAGGGGGGTCGATCACATGAAACGTGTGACGTTTGATGGTATTTTAATTTCTTTTTTTTCTTTTCTTTCCTACGTAACCAAAATTGAATGCTTCTGCCAAATAGTAGTGGTATCGAACATGTGGTTTACCTTTGATATCAGTTCAACCCCGTGGTATAAGTAGTTGCTGGGATAAACAAACACATGTGTTAGCCACATGGCTTGTGTAGTTGTGCTATTTTCTAGTATTAAGATGACACGTATCACATTTGTATTTTGCAACAAAAACAAAGCCACAAGAATTTTAACGCCCCATTGTAATGCATAAATATATAAATGCTGGCAGTTTATAAATAATGTGCAGTATTTTTAGTGCACTACCTCAAATCAAGCAATAGTACACTACCTTTTACCACACACAAACCCAAAAATAAATAAATATAAATAAACAATACGAACAATACAACACGTTATTTGTAGGAAGAGTATTGAAAGAAAACATATTAGCAGCTGAAGCTGGGTATGGATAGGAAATACATCAAAAGTCCTTACAGTGAAGTGTGTATGATGCTGATGATGTATTTAAGTGTCTACTGTATATAAATAACCAACACTACTACTATTACTACTACTATTACTACTACTGTTAGCAGTCTAATTCAACCATCAACGTGTGCTTCTTTTTTTTTTTTTTTCTCTGCCACTTTAATTTCTGTCTCACACACACGTAAAATGATTTTAGTTTTAGTTTTTTTTCCTTTATTATTGTATTTTGTTTGTACGTGTTTTTTTATTTTTTATTTTTCTCTTATTAATTTTGTCCCCTGAAATCCTTTTTTTTTGTTTTTTTTTTTTTTCTTCAACAACGAATATAAATATACCACCAGAGGAGATTTCATATTCTATAAAATTTTTTTCTACTTCCTTTCTTCCTTTTCTTCTTCTTTTTCCCTCTTTGACCTCTATCAGTTGGAAACTACTTACTTATTGAAGGTACTACTATAAACGTATTAAAACATATCATCTTAATACATTTCACTCACTTTATCCACTTAAAGCTTTAGCTACACTTTTACACTTCTACTTACGCACACATCTATAATTACTATGAAAGGATTGATTTTAGTCGGAGGTTATGGTACTAGATTGAGACCATTGACTTTAACTTTACCAAAACCATTGGTTGAATTTGGTAACAGACCCATGATTTTGCATCAAATTGAAGCTTTGGCTGCTGCTGGTGTCACTGATATCGTTCTTGCTGTCAACTACAGACCAGAAGTTATGGTTTCCACTTTAAAGAAATACGAAGAAGAATACGGTGTATCAATCACCTTTAGTGTTGAAGAAGAACCTTTGGGAACTGCTGGTCCATTGAAGTTGGCTGAAAAAGTCTTGAAAAAGGACAATTCTCCATTCTTTGTTTTAAACAGTGATGTCATTTGTGAATACCCATTCAAGGAGTTAGCTGATTTCCACAAAGCTCATGGTGCTGCAGGTACTATTGTTGCTACTAAAGTTGATGAACCAAGTAAATATGGTGTTATTGTTCACGACAGAGACACACCAAACTTGATTGACAGATTCGTTGAAAAACCAGTTGAATTTGTTGGTAACAGAATTAATGCCGGTTTGTACATTTTAAACCCATCAGTCATTGATTTGATTGACATGAAACCAACTTCAATTGAAAAGGAAACTTTCCCAATCTTGGTTGAACAGAAACAATTATACTCCTTTGATTTAGAAGGCTTTTGGATGGATGTTGGTCAACCAAAGGATTTCCTTAGTGGTACTTGCTTATACTTGACTTCATTATCCAAAAAACACCCAGAAAGATTATCCAATGAGAAATTTGTAAATGGTGGTAATGTTTTGATTGACCCAACTGCCAAAATCCACCCAAGTGCATTGATTGGACCCAACGTTGTCATTGGTCCAAATGTCGTTGTTGGTGAAGGTGCCAGAATCAAGAGATCAGTACTTTTGGCCAATTCCTCTGTCAATGACCATGCTTGGGTTAACTCCACCATTGTTGGATGGAACTCGAGAATCGGAAAATGGGCTAGAACTGATGGTGTCACTGTTTTGGGTGATGATGTTGAAGTTAAGAATGAAATTTACGTCAATGGTGCTAAAGTTTTACCACACAAATCTATTTCAGCCAATGTTGAACAAGAATCTATTATTATGTAGAGTTGTCCAACAGCAGAAACAACAACAGAAAACTACCGGCTATTTGTTGGTCTTTTTTCTTTGAGGTTTATTTTATATAATTTAGGTTTTTAGGGACAATTACTAATACTAATTACAGGGAATAGAGAGGTGATAGTTTGTAGAACATAAGAGTCTAGGTGCAAAGAGGTATAAAGCTCTTATTCAATTGTCTGTGTCTTTTTCCCGAGCAGGCTCGTATAGTTGTCACATATATAACTCAATCCAAAATAAAAGTTAAAGCCAATCAAAAAATCAGTCAAAATGCGAGAAACACCCGTACTACAAACGAAGGGCTTTTCCATTTATCTTTTCCCACTTCCATAATGGTCCAAAATTGCTCCAAATCCAGTAGTACAGCTTTCTCTCAAAGATTCACTCAAAGGTTTAGTCGAACTAAGGTATTTCCACATCAAAGTCTTACCAATCAATGGGTTCGTCACAATTCCCATTGGCTTCACTTCACCCAGCTTTTGATTGACATAACTCAACCCCAACCCGCCATTGTGCAACATCTCCAATACCAATATATCATTCTTGGGTACTGATCCTCTAACTTTTGTGAAAATTTGACGCAACTCATCCAATCCTTCATTCAATTGTTGCTTTGTATCTTTATCTTGATGGCCCGACAAGATACTTTTGATTAATCCATCCTTCATATGGTTGAAATCAGTGTTTCTTACTGGTGATAACCTAGCCAAGAACCGGACTCCGTTATCCAACATGTCATAGGCAACTTGGTCGGATTCTGATGGGTTATCGATGATGGCCTTGGCTACTCCAACTAAACTGTCATCATCAGGCAATACTGGGTTATTGATGGAGAAATCTTTTAAAATCTTGATGGTCTTAGGTATATCTTGCTGAGCAATATAAATGCCAATTCCATACACTTTAAACCCAATAAACGTCACTGACCGAACACCGTGCCCCACCAATTCAAATGGCTCTGAAGAATACTCAGCTTTGGAGATCACGGTGGGGAAAGACGATATAGAATTATCAACGTCGATCTGATCGGTGTATGTAGCAAATGGCTTACGCACTTCCAGGCCAGCAATACCCACAACGGCATTGCTGTCTTGTTGCGAATCTAAATTAATGATATGTTGCTGTTGATGATGAAATTGCTGCAATTGGTAATGGATTGCATAAGCCGACACGGCTAGTGCAGGCACATATCTCACCGGTTTGGTTCTAAGTATTGTTCTAAACATTTTGATCTAATTGTATGTGTGTGTTAACGTGGTTACGAAAGGCTTTATTATTCTGGGAAAAAGCAGGTGATCAATAAGAAAGAAAAAGTTGCGCATTTGAATTGGTAATAACCGGGGCAATGAGAGAAAGAGGAACTATTTTTTGAGCCGATGCTACCTAAAAATTCGCGCAGACAATATTCAGAGAATGTAATTGTTAAAACCTACTAAACCAGTCTACATATTGTGCAATGGGGATTCTCACCGTTCAATGTAAAGCTTTGTTGTACCTCAGTTATGCCCAACACCAATTGCAGGAACTTATAAACTTGATATCTTTTCACTAACCGACTTTTCACTCATCAAGGTTAATCCACTAGCCAATTGCGCCTTGTGTATACTCTCCCACTTGGTCCAAACCTGTTCACACGATCTAACCTCACTATTCAACCAGTTTTCCTCATTGTTGAGATTAGCCAATTTTGCAGCCAAATATCCCACCATAGTATCTCCGGCACCAGTCACATTCACCACTGACAAATTCTGATTCTCTATAGGAACATCAAAGTATTCCACTACGACTCCCAACTTGCTATCCGCATCATTAACTACTGTTGCAGTAGGTCTGTACTTTGACGTTGTTGGTATACTTTTCAAATCAGTATGATTAGTAACTAAACTAACCATCAAGATCCCCTTGTCACCCAATTTGACCAATATATTTTGATAAAATGGTAAAAGGTGGAAACATTGTTGGAAAACGCCCCTTGCACACAACTTTGAATCAAGTTTCATCAACTTATCCCTCATTGCACCATTGATGTTCATGGCATCAAGGATAGGAAACCATTTTTCAAGATCAAGTTTATAAGTTTTCTCCAATGATTCATAGACTGTGTTTAACTCTTCAACTGTCGGTGTAATCAATTTAATTTTATTATGGGGAAAAACTGCTGAATTTACTTGCGATAATCGTTGGGCCTTGATATATGATGTCGGCTCAATAATAAAGCCAGGCGCTCCATTTTTTTGGCCCTGGAAATGCTCAACTATACTGCTCATCGCATCTGATGACAAATTACAGTCCATAAGAACAAAGTTAGGTTTTTGATGAGTAATTTCATCAATGACTTGTTCCAGAAACCCCGGCTCTTCTATAATGGACATGTCTGCACACGCTACAATCAAATCGCCTTTATCATCATGTACACATGAATATTGAGCACTGTTTCCTAAACCTCTTGTAAATGTCAGGTTTACAATACCTTCTTTTTCAATTTGGTGGATTAGTGTGTCACCAGCAAAATCAGTCCCCACGCGAGAGATAAGCCTGGTATTCTCAGAGACGTAGCTGCTAGCTAGAGCTAGATTATAGCCAACCCCTCCAATAGAGTTTGTAATTTTACCAATGTTTGAGTCTTTAAGCTTTGGTTTGGTTGATATCGTACTTATGGTATCTAAAGCAACTGAACCGACAACTAATAACCTTATGGGATTACTGCCTTGCACAGCTCTGTCTGACTCTGATTGATTACTTCTACCCTTTTCAGAAGCTGTATCCTCATTGCCACTGACCAATGCCGTTGGGGTCAAACTCTCCTACACATGTGGTCAGTACCTTCGTCTTATGAAAAGAAACTTCATTAACATACCAATTTGTAATACTCATTTGCTATCTGAGCTGCAGCTCTCGCATTGTTCTTGACAAGGCTTATATTACAATCAACAGATTTCCCTTTTGTCGCATGGGCAATCTCGCTAAGCAAGAAGGGAGTCAACTGTTTACCGGAAATACCCTCGACTCTAGCTTTCCTGTTCGCTTTATCAATTATTTCATTGATAAAGTTCGAATCTAATGCTGTAGCTTTTGGCGGTGGAATGCAAAATACATTTCCCGATTGCAAGTCCATCAAATTTTGATTATGGACAATGGAAGCAGCACCTGCAAAGCTATCAAATCCAAATGGCGATGCAGCTAAAGATTCTCGACAGTAAAAGCCTGGCAACTTCAAGTCTTCAGCTGGCTTCCCATCTTCGTTGTATGTGCCAACAAATACCCCTTGAGTTTCCAAGAATTCCAATGTCTTTTCAATATCTAAAATCGATTTAGGCCCTGCACATATAACACTGACTGGAGTACGTCCCAATTCGGTCAAATCAGCAGAAACATCCATGGAAAAGTTTCCTGGTACGTCACGATGCACTCCACCTAAACCACCAGTGGCAAAAAACTTAATCCCTGCCAAGTGGGATAAAATCATAGTCAGGGCAATTGTTGTGCCACCATTTAATTTGTTGGCCATAACATAACCTATATCACGGCGTGAGACTTTTGTAATTGAGTGGCGAGGTGATTCAGCAAATTTCTGGATCTGCGATACTGATAACCCTACATGAGGTATACCATTTATGAATGCACAAGTAGCTGGCGTTACCTTGTGATCACGTAAAATCTCTTCGACAGATCTAGCCATTTCAAGATTTTTCGGGTAAGGAAGACCATGTGAGATTATAGTTGACTCGAGTGAAACTACAGGTTTTCTAAGATTGAGTGCATTTTTGACTTCTTTGGACAATTGAATGATGTTCCTCATTTACAAAGGTGGGATCTAATTTGGTTTGATATTGATTTTTTTTTTCTTTTTATTTCAAAGTTTCCCCCATCAATACACCTTCTGGCTCCACAACATGAAGATTGAAGAGATACCAACAACTGCTGCGGAAATTGGCCTTGAAGGAATCCTCAAGAGTTTGAAAAATATCCCACAGTCCCCGGAAAAGTACCAACATGATCTTAGAGCTCTAGAGGACTCGTCATATTGGAATTTGGATGTTGTGCGAGCAATAGCTTTACACGCAAATCCAAACTTAGCTTGGTGTTCAGAGGCCAATGCACTGATAGTCGAAGCCATTGTACAAACCAAGGACATTGATCAGTATCTTTATCCATTCATTCAGGACGACTTTTGTCCGCGGTTGAAAAATATTGAAAAAGTGGCACATTGGGGCCGAGGCAAACAACTGGCTTTGAAACCTCGACCCTCTTTCCAAGATCAGAAATTTGATGCATCTACACTAGCGCAGGCATGGTTTTTGATAGACGTCACAAACAATCAAGATAAGGAGATATGCAAGTTGACTCTCTTGCTAATCATTGACACCTTACAGTTCGATATCCCGGCTAAGATCCAAGCATGCAAATTGCTAGAGCACTTGCAAATACAAGACACACCTTCTATAAGGAACTTGATTGAACCGTTGCAACAAAACTTGGCAAAATGTTTGAACCACATACCCAGCATAACACCAGAGACTGACTCGTTTCTGTTACTATCTGTGGCATATCCATGTATCTACAGACTCGATAGCGAATTTGGCACTGATTTGAACTTCATTGAAACTATTGCCACGATTCTATCCTCCATAAGTCATGTGGTTAGCTACCCAAAGCTAGCGTCCTTTCTACTAGACCAATTAAGCGTGTGTATTAGTCACATTGGAATCACCGTGCTAGTAAGTATAACTAAAATCTTTTACACTTTGAATCAAATCATTACGAATGTCGGTATCTTGGAGCAACTGCCGTCAATTATCCAGCATGCATTAGAAGTGGAGAATGCTATTATACAACTCGAGTCGCCTTTGGTTTACACTTTTATCTACGATCTAATGGGGGCATATTATATACTACGAAAGAGAGTTGAAACATACAACATCAAAGGCTTGTCTGAGGACATCCAAAGAAATATGTCCTCATTGAAGCAATTATCTATTTTCTGTGATAAATTGTCTGAATTTGAAGATATACAGGACTCTATAAACAAGATTAATTAGTCAAAGATCTATCTGAATGGAACCAAAACAACTTATCTACCTTGTAAGGCTTCAACAACTTTGATGTTTGTATCCAAAAACCTATTCAAACAGTTTACCAAACACTGCTCTTCGTTTGCATCCAAAGTTGAAGATGTTATTGGCTTATCTTTGTTGCATTTCTTAAAACACATATCAGTGAAGCTATGTATCGATGATTGAACTTTTGACTTTGATTGTTCAGCTTCGACGAATTGCATCATCTCTTTTCTGCTTTCTGGATCAAGATTCTGAAGCGCTGAGGGTGATATAGTCGACATGTTGTGTATTGAGTAGTCTTTGGAAGGTAACTTTGACTTTGCAGATTTGTAAATTTTCAACTTTCAAAGTTCAAAATTTTTTTTATTTTTTTTTTGGTCTTTTTTTATCCGAATTTGATCAACCGAATGGTGCCCACTAACTGATGGATAAACTCATCCAGGTATTGAATCAACCGCCACTGAAAAATGACTTAGATGAGGCATACCTTAGTCGCTTAATTAAAGACCTTAAACGCATTCAAGAGTATACCAAACAAGCAGAGAAAGCTATAGAGTCGTTTGACAAAATCGAGTCTGTCTCCATCGAGAAGCATATCATAGCTTTATATGATTCCTACGGCAGCATTCCTTACACACCAGAAAAGAATGATACAATTGCAACAGCTGCAACCTCAGTAATTCTTGAGGAAATGATTCAAGAGAAGCAGAAGGAGATCGCACAACCTTGTGAGGAAAGCAAAAAGGCCGAATTTGATTTCACGGGGAATATAGATGAATTGAAGAAACAGAGAGCTACACGATTAGAGCAGATTAAAGAATTGAGCTTAGCAATAGATCGAGAATTCCTTTCACCATTGCCTTCGAAATGGGCCGAGTCGTTGGAACTACAGCGGACTCTTTCCAGTTACTTGAAAAAAGTTCTAATTAAATACCTTGCAATATCAGATCGCACATCAGGATCGGTTAATAATAAAGACCAAGTAAGGGATATAATCAGATCTCTGAGTAATTTTTTCAATAGTTTGTTAACAACCGAATGGGTGTGTCTTCCCGAAAATTTAGGCATCGTAGTTGATACCTTGGTGCGAGATGGAGTGTTAATTGTCAAGAATCAACAAGCGAAATTGAGAGGGTTCGATAGTAGGTGCTAATCACTTCTATATAGTCTAACCAATTCAATAGTATACGTTATTTGCATGTGATTACTATGTAGACCTGTGTATTTCCGTTTTCATGTATCCCACTAGCTTTGTCGTATTTTATGTTGACGTAATTTATCTCTGCGGAGATAGTTTGTACAACAGCAGTTAATCTCCGCAAAAGAATGATTATACTCCGAAAGTACACTTGTGTTGCATTATGCGGGAGAACGGATTTTGAACAGCTGTGTAGATGGTAATTTTGGCTGTTATTGTGGCGCAGGTGCCCCCCCCCTCTTTCCAAAGCCAGTGTTGGCTTGGCCTTAGCTAGTGATATTTCTCCCTCCTACTAAAATGTTTAACTCCGGTAGGCAAAAAAGGAAAATTCTTCACAAAAAACACCTCCCGCACATATATCAAGTTAATTTTCTTCAGTTTTTCTCTTTCCTATGAGTACTCTTCCAAACTACTTAATGCAGACACGAAATAGAAAAGTGTTGAGTTGCGACAGATGTCGCCGAAGAAAGATCAAGTGCGACAGAGAACAGCCTTGTAAGACATGTCACCGATTAAAACGGGATTGCCTGTATACATTGGCAATGGAGTCAAAAGATGCCTCGAAATCGAGATCAAGACAAGGTGCAAGCAATTCGATCTCAATTGTTGAAATACCGCCAATAAAATCAGAGAACGAGTCTTGGGTAGGAAGAAGGGCATCCAACTATGTAACACCGGGGTCTTCAACAAGTCCTCAATCCTTAGGTAGCATAAATACAGACCAAGCGGCCGACTTGTACCAAAGCGAGGCGCAAAACGACCCCAATTTAAGCGAAGTCAATTTCCTCAAGCAAAGAGTACAAGAATTAGAGAATCAACTAAAGACTGAACGTCTATCTAATTGGAACAGATCAAGCTCGATTCCCCCCACCACGTGGCCAAGGTCGGCTACTACCCCAACACCTGGTCAAACCAACTTTAACTACAGCTTTACCGACGGAAAGCCATTATTGTTGTCAGATAGGCCGTTTCCATATATGCTTTTGATGAGGCGTGAAGGGGGATCAAAGTTGTTGTATAATCTTTTGGCACGAGATGGAGAGAAAGATGGACACTTGCTTACGTCGTCTATTTTGCTTTGTGAGCTCAATGATATTAGAACAAGAGAGATTAAGGAGAAGGCTCGAATGATGCTTGGTGACTATTATATTCCATTTCAAGGAGAAGAAACTACAAATATCGAAGAATTGAAAAGAAAGATTGCCTTGAATCACTATGGATTGCAATTTATTCCACCCGAGGTGGACTTGAGAGACCCCATTGCTTGTTACTTTAGCTTAATACCACCAGCATGGGTAAGTAAAAAACTCCTTGACATTTACTTTCAAGCACTATACCCATTCATGCCAATTATAGATGAGCAAGAGTTTAGGTCCGCATTGAGTAGAATTTTGGGACCGCAAATAAATGACAACTACATCAATACCTTCCCAAATGTCGATTCATCTGACGATTTGGCCATATTGGCAATACTATTAATTGTGCTAAGGTCAACATATTTGTCTCTATGGGACTTGCATGGGAACAGCCTATCACTGCTAAGCCAGTACCTGGTGACTTATGATGCGGTTAGAGCAGCAGAGACCATATTAAAAGAGTTTGACTTAACCTATCGACAGAGCTTGACTGTTGTACAAGCAGGGCTAATGTATAGATCCTATGTGATTATTGCACCAGAAGCATTTTTCACGGGAAGTACCGCACAAGTCAAGTTGGGACCTATTATTCAGCTTTGCTACGCTCTTGGATTGAACAGAGATCCAGCTTGCTTCAAAGACCAGACCCCGAAGATGCAAAATCTACGTCGTAAAATATGGCATTTTGTCGTTCGAGTCGATATCGCTTGTTCAGGAATTTTTGGAACCACATTATCAACAGACGTTCTCACATATGATTGCCCCTTACCTGAATTTCTGATCGAGGCAGTAAATTGCTTTGATCTCAAGATGGAGAAAGACATTGTTGACTCATTTCATCGATCTCACGAAGTGTACTTGACGTGCAGAAAGTTGGCAGATTATCATTTGATTGCAAGTGATATCTTCCAAGTAGATCAGGTGATTAAAGTGGTGGAGGGGTTGGAGTTGACATTAACCAAAGCATTTGGAAATGTAAAGCCATTGTTCAACCAACCCCTTGCCGGGTTTATGGACGTTTTTCTGATGCAGGTTTACATGGAAATGAAACCATTCATAGCGTACACATGTTATTGCCTACATCTCTATTACGAAAGCCAGTCTAACCACCTTTTGCTGTCAAAATACTTTCTTAAAACAATGACAATATTGTTGCAGGATTTGGGTGATTTAAATACATATATCTTTCTGAATGCCAATTCAAGTTTCAATATGTTGCTCCTGGCCAAATTTACTGAGTTTTATTTGCACTTTAATTTAATGGTCTTTACTGGCATCAGATTGAGGTTGAAATGCTATATGCATTTAAAGTCATCCACTTCAGACAATGGTGAAAAGAGTATTGAGCATGAGATTCTCTACAAGTTAGAGAACCAATTGAAAATATACACGCATGCTCAGGCTATCAAACTTGGAGAACTAGCAAAAAAATACAGGTACTCACTAGTGTTGAGAGGGATGCATATGATTACGATAAAGTTGTGCGATCAATTTCAATACTTGTTATCAGCCAATGACACCCAAGCTGTCAAAGAGGCTGCAATCAAGTTACCACTTGAAGTGTTGCAAAAATTTAGTCAAAAGCTTGATGTGTACCAATTAACCAAAACTGGTAAACTATTTGACTTCAGTGACGAAGGTCTAATTGCTGAAATGAGTAGGCAGAATTTGTGGTCCCAATTAAAGATGATTGAAACTGAAGAAACTGTTACTAGCGCGTGGATTGAGAAGACGAAAAAGTTTAACAGGTTTGCCGAGGATATGAAGCTTGGCTTCAGTTACAATCTAGGCTTTGATTTATCGTCAAATGGCCTAGACCTATTTTCAAGTTGAGGTGAAAAAAAAATTGTTTGTCTATGATGATCTATTCAACATGACTGGCCCCTTTTGCGCCATATTCTATAAGCTGTCAATACCAATATACAACTAACCAATAAGGAGAAAGATGTAGTTTTGAAGTAGACCTGCAATCTCTCCGCGTCGTTACCATTTTGACCGGCATCAGCCACTTTTCCATAAAACAAGGAAAACATAATTGACCCGATTGCTGGTGCAACCATAAAAGAGCCCCATGTGGAACCCATAATATCAATCCCCCACACGGATGCTACTATAGTGGGGTAAATAGTAAACATACCTCCATATGATATACCATTGAGTACAACATTGTTAAACCATTGGCCCCCAATACCACACAATACCGTAGCTATTAATAAAGGTATCGAACTGTATCCCTTTACTTCCAACAAGTCACTCAATCCACCAAATACAAGCCTAGCTATGGTAGATGAGGTGGCTAATACACTTACTTTATCTGAGAGGCTAGACTCTGACTTGACCGGCTCCAAAATGGCATCAATGGAGCTTAAATTGTTTTGATAACTCTCCATTGGACCAATATTCATCACAAGTGACATTAGGAGCACCCATGAGGATAAATCCTTCAAGAAAAGCTTGAACCTTTTCTTGTGGTTTGGAGGGTCAATGGATCTTGTGGACCTTTGGGGAGTCAAGTCATTATTTAGTAAAGGTGTATTATCATCGACGTCAGTCTCTTCTAAATCAAATATAACGTCTTGTTCTACAAGAACAATGGAGCTGGATATGAAACTTAGCACTCCAATAATCAAGTATAACCAGGCGAAAAAGCTGAAAACCTTTACCAAATCCAACATCTCCAGATTCAACTGATAAATCATCCTAAAGTACTTCAACTTGAGCAATTGCGAGCCAATTAATGCACTTAGACCATAACAAGTCACGGGTAAAGATATAGCCAATCCTTTATGTTTGGGAAAAATCTTTGCACAGGTCAACAAACTTGAAAAATACAACGATGAAGTGGCTAACCCAATCAAGCAGAATGTGCAACAATATAATGCCAATTTGTTGCAGCCACTTTTTACCAAGTAGCTATTGAAGGCATAACTAGGCACGAAAAACCATACAGATAAAAATGACAAAATTGAGGGCCCGTAGCAGTCAGACAAGTAGCCCAAGGCAGGCAAACATAAGTACATTCCACCTGCCGATAAGGAAGCAATCCAGTTGATTTCGAGATATGAAAGTCCAAGTACATCATGAAAAGATGGACCAAACAAGGTGAATAGTAAGATTGATCCAGATACAAGACAAGAACACAAGGCAACTGCAAACGCAGCCACTCGTAGGCTAGTGTTTGATATATGCTGAGATAAAAATGACTTTATCTGGTAAGAAACATTTTGGACCCATTTCATTTAAAAGTGTGTTATTTCTATTGGCTAGTGGCGGGTATGGTAAGTGTATGTTGAAAAGATGGGGGGTAGTTTTCTCTCTTATGCTGCAAGAGAAAGAAAATAATCCTCCAGGTTAATTCTGAGTCAGAAAAAGAAAAAAATAAAAAAGAAAGAAATTAGAAATCAGATAGAACAAAAGGAAACAAATGGGTTATATACAGTTCCAATAGATCAGAGGTAAATGTTAACTAATGGCCGATATACCGAATGAATAAATCAGTCTACACTGTCTACATCTAAGTAGCTTCCCTCTAATGTACCAATTTGTTTAGCATAATACACACACTTAAGAAGTCAACTTTCTATTTATAGCAAAACTCTTTTGCAACTTTTCATCACATTTCTTTAAAATATCATCGGCCAATACATCAATAGAATGACTGTAAAGCATGTTGTTAAGTCTTGATGGTTCAGCTGGTAACCTAAATTGTGACTTCCATTCATCAGTTTCCAACTCCTTCTCTCCATTTTTAGCTCTTTCCAAGTTTTCATACTTTCTTTGTTGTTTCCATTGTTGAATCTTGCTCTGTTCTTTTGAATATTGCCTTTGATAGTAGTTGAAGTTATTTTGGTCATAATTAAACGAGTCCACTTGTCCATATAAGGATTCCAACAACTGAGCAGTTGAGTTGGAATTAGATAACAAGTTGACGACGTTATAGTCAGATTCAGATATAGATGCTGGCTTAGCTGATGCTAAGTACAAGTCAACTAACGCTTGCTTCTGTACATCAAGTTCCAATTCATCGAATATGTTCAAATATGAGATCTTGTTTTTTTCTAAATCCTTGGATTTCCATTTACCATCAACATACGCGCTCATAAAGCCCGTTGATAACCTGAGTGCTTTCAAATTTATTTCTTGACCAATGCTAGACATGTCGTGGATCAAGATAAAGATGTTTGGATTTTGTAATTGTTGTTGGGCTACAGCTTCAACCAATTGACTTGTGACAAAATTACCAGACATGGTAGATTGAAACCAACCTTGAAACTCAACACCATATCCCAATTTTTTGTAGTTTTCTAACAAGTCTTTTTGGTATTGACTACCACTTTTGGACTTGAAAGAGCCTCCTTCGTATTGATCTGGGTATGGGAATGGAAAAATATGAGTGATATCAACAGTCTTTTCATCTTCAAAACCCAACAAGGCACCAGAAAAAATAGCTGGATAATGTTCTGATGTATGTCTGAGTAATGATAACAATACCGAGGACGATATAGTGACTGTATCAACAGTAGCTGGAGTATATTTATTTGGCATATTGTGGTGTATAGGCATGGGGGCTCTTATCAAGAGCTCTTGAAAAAAATTTTTTTTTCATTGATGGAAAGTTTTGAATGAAAGAAGAAGAAGAAGAAAAAAAAAAATTTAATCTGCTAATTTTCACATCATTTTGACTCACCATTAATTAAGATTCAAAAACCATGTCTGAAGTTGATAAAGTTGCTGAACAAGTGCAAAAGACATACTTAGATGATGTCACTGGTGAACAAGTCTCCAAAACGGAGTTGAAAAAAAGACAAAAACAAAGAGCTATTGAAGCTAAAAAAGCTCAAAAAGCACCAGCTCCTCAAGCAAAGTCATCTAAAAAGAAGAATGAATTTGCTGATTTGAACCCTAACCAATTCCACGAGATCAGATCTCGTCAAATTGAAGAGTTGAGAGAAAAGAGCAATGCTGATCCATCTGCTTTTAACCCTTATCCTCACAAATTCGATGTCACCAAAAGATTGCCCGATTTTGTCAAAGAGTATAGTCACTTGAAAAGAGGAGAGTCATTGAAAGATGTCACTCTTCAAGTCACTGGTAGAATAATGACCAAGAGGGAATCCGGATCCAAATTGAAGTTTTACGTTTTGAAAGGTGATGGAGTTGAAATACAAGTCATGGCTCAAGCTCAAGATGCCGAGTCACCAGAAGCGTTTGAAGAAATGCATGACATTTTAAAAAGAGGTGATATTATTGGTGTTACTGGTTATCCAGGAAGAACCACCCCTGCTAAAGGTGGTGAGGGTGAATTATCAGTATTTGCTCAAAAAGTTCAATTATTAACTCCATGTTTGCACATGTTGCCTACTGAACATTATGGTTTCAAAGACCAAGAGGCTAGATACAGAAAACGTTACTTGGACTTAATTATGAACGATTCTAGTAGAGAAAGATTTAGAGTTAGATCTAAAATCATTCAATTTATCAGAAAGTTTTTGGACCAACGTGATTTCGTTGAAGTTGAGACCCCAATTTTGAATGTTATAGCTGGTGGTGCCACTGCCAAGCCATTCACCACTCATCACAACGATTTGAATATGGAAATGTTTATGAGAATTGCTCCAGAATTGTTCTTGAAGGAGTTGGTTGTAGGTGGTATGGATAGAGTTTATGAAATTGGTAGACAATTTAGAAATGAGGGTATCGATATGACTCATAACCCAGAGTTCACCACATGTGAATTCTATCAGGCATATGCTGATGTCTACGATTTAATGGACATGACCGAATTGATGTTTTCAGAAATGGTTAAAGAAATTACTGGTGATTACAAAATCACCTACCACCCAGAGGGTCCAGAAGGCAAAACTTTAACCTTGGACTTTTCAAGACCATGGAAGAGAGTTAATATGATTGAAGAATTGGAAAAAGTTTACAATGTCAAGTTTCCAGCTGGTGACCAATTGCACACTGCTGAAACTGGTGAATTTTTGAAAAAAGTCTTGAAAGACAACAACTTGGAATGTTCACCACCATTGACCAACGCCAGAATGTTGGACAAATTAGTTGGTGAATTGGAGGATGCATCGATCAATCCAACATTTATTTTTGGACACCCACAAATGATGTCGCCATTGGCTAAAAAGGATAGAAACATTCCTGGATTGTGTGAAAGATTTGAAGTCTTTGTTGCAACCAAAGAAATTTGTAATGCTTACACCGAATTGAACGATCCGTTTGATCAACGTGCAAGATTCGAGGAACAAGCTAGACAAAAAGCACAGGGTGACGATGAAGCACAAATGGTTGATGAAACCTTCTGTAATGCTTTAGAGTACGGTTTACCACCAACCGCTGGTTGGGGTTGTGGTATTGATCGTTTGGCTATGTTTTTGACCGATTCAAACACTATTAGAGAAGTGTTGTTGTTTCCAACTTTGAAACCAGATGCTTTAGTCTTGAAAGGTGAAGAACCATTGAAGAATGATAATTAGAGATGCATATCGTATATATATAGTATTTTATTTCGATAGAGATATATAATGCAAACTTTATCTCCTTGCTAATTTACCATTTCGTTTCATTTCTAAGGCCTTTTTATACGGGGGTGCAGTAGGCCTTTGAACAGGGTCTAATGTAACAGAATCGAGATCCAACGAATAAGTTGCATCTGAGTCAATGTCATCTATATCACCACATGCAATAAACTCAACAATCAACCTCTCATCATTTTCGTCATTATCAAACACATCCTCATTGCGCTTTATACCAGCACCTTCAAAAAACTCATCTGTCAGTTGATTCAAATCCAATTTTGGTGTCCAGTTGGGGATAGGCTTGTATCCTAAACATACAATGAATGCTTCTAAACTGGTACCTCTCGAACTACGAGGTTTGGCGCAATAGATTTTTGTGAAAAACTTCAGCAATTGATTATACATTAGATCGATATCACGGCCACGGAAAATCTTTGCCACAAAGGCTCCACCAGGTTTCAAAATACACGTGGTTAATTGGAATGCCGACCATACAAGTTGGTGCTGCACATATTCATCCAAGTCATGTAACCCAGTGACATCTGGGGCTCCATCGCTGCATACAAAGTCCGCCAAGGCATTACCTCCACCACTGCCAGCTGCATCTCCTTCTTTAAAGCAATCCAAGATCTGTTGCAATGTTCTGGGATGGGTTATATCTGCTTGCAACGTGGTCACATGGTCTATAGGAGTCATTGGTTGTAAATCAACAGCAACAATTCTAGCATCTGGGTTGGACCCTAGTTTATGGCTAAGCACTTGGGACCACGATCCTGGTGCTGCACAAAGATCAACGACACGAGTGATGTTGCTTAGTAGGTTAAACTGTTGGTCTAGCTGGAGTAGCTTGTACGCTGAACGTGCTCTATATCCATCTTCCTTGGCTCGTCGGTAGTATAAATCTCGTTTATCCTTGCTTGTCTTCCCCATTGCGTTGCGTGATGTCCTCCTGCTGATTCTCGGTGAATATTTTTCTCTACCAATTTTGCAATCAAACGAGAAAGAGAGGAAAAAAAAATTAAAAAAAATTTTGACCTTTTGACCTTTGGGCTTTGAAAATTTTCCTCCAGATCAATACCAGTTTATATACCAGATGTTACAACCATACAGGCTACTGGGTAGCATACGATCCTTCACTACCAGAAGTATCTTGCTTCAACAATTTCTCACTCCTGATGAACTAGTTTCCAAAAGCAAACAAGAACAAGTTGAAAATCAACAATTTCAATCACAGTTACGTCAAAAGCAAGTGCCATATTCGCCCAAAACATTAAGCTCACACACCACTATTCACGAAAATCACAAACGTCCAATCCCTCTCAATGTTGAACTCTTACAGTATAAACCTTTGAGGTTACCACAGACACACGGCGACAAGGTAGCTACATTGAACTTACGAGGTTATAATGATGATGATTTAATTCGCATGGGTGAATTTGCATTACGAGCAGCTTATTACTTGGGTATCCCAATGTCCAAATTAACTTCCCTCAAGACTGAGAAGAGATTATATACCGTTATTAAATCACCATTTGCTCAAGCCAAGACCAAGCAAAATTTCCATCGAACAACGTACAACAAACAATTGGTGGCTTACGATGCTAATCCCGAAGTTGTTGATTTATGGTTGAGTTATGTCAACAGATACAAGTTAAACAATGTTGATATGAAAGCCACGGTTATAGCGAGGGAGGGGCTGAACTATAATGAAGAATTGGCCAAATTGGAAGAGTTTGAATTACCGCAAGCATATGAAGGATTAGAGGATCCAGTTGCCCAAAAAGTGAAGGAGTTGTTACAATCAAATGATTTTAAGAAAGCTTTATAGTTGTTGCTCTTGTATATAATATTATAAATCTACTGTTTTTTTTTATTAACCGTAAACATCCCAACCTTCTTCGGCTTCTTCTTCAGAATCCTCTTCCCGCGCTTTTCTAATCTCTTCTTCTATCCGTTTCCTTCTATTCTCCTCAACTTCTAAAACATTGGTTCTGCACATGGGACATGTCGAATTTGTCATTAACCAAGGTCCAACACATTCCAAATCGAAAAAGTGCTTGGAATTTTTGACACCACACGGTAATTTAACAATTAACGGGTACTTGTCTTCTTTGAACCGATTGGTACATATGGGACAAAATTCATCGTCTGATAATTGAGAAACAGGAACTCGTTCCAATGTGTCCAAAAATTCCAGATTAACTCCCTTTTGTTTAGGGTTGGAATCCAATATGTTCAATAGTGAATCGGCAACTTCCGAATTATCCAAAGTCCTCAACTGATTTAATGCTGCAGATAAGGATTCAAGAGAGCTTGCAGAATCGGCAAAACTAGCATCGAGAGTTGAGGTTGCAGTGGTGGCATGATTTGTTTGATGAGGGTGGATAAACGAATCAATAATGCCGCTTAATGTTTCATGATTTCTACCTCGTCGTTGAGTGTCTTGGGGTTGTGTGCGTGTAATGTTATGTTCTTCTTCAAATATAGGTTAGTAAATTGCTATCAAGACTCAAGACTCAAGACTCTATGGACATACCGTCGTATGTAGACATCCTCGTAGTTGCAAAATGAGTGATTTGCTTGCCCTTTATTTTTGTTCTGGGTTTTTTTCTTTGACGGCAAAATCTTTGTCGCCGTTGAGAGATCTGGGGGTAAAGAATGGGAGATATGTTTCAAAAACAAAGCTCTTTAGAATACTAATGGCGCCTCCAGTTTGTTACTCTATTACGTACTGTACTGTACTAACTATATATATTCCTCGCCAGGGCAACAATCTCGCTAAATCTCTCACCCTCGTGCAATTTATCGTCTTGCTTCGCTACTTCCCCTTTTTCCTCTTCTTTCTCCTCTTCCAGTACGTCTTCCTTCAAATCACTCTGATTAGGATGGTAGTGACTAAAGTAATCAACATGTTTGAGATTATTTGTAGTGCTCAAAAACAACGGAGTCATCGGTGGATCCTCTGTTGGCGTTTGCACTGGGTTCAACACTGGAGAATCATCGCCGTTTCTTGCCTCATAAATGGATCCACCCGCACTCTTGTGTACGACATATTGTGCTTGAGAGTGCAGCAGCAGCAGCAGCAGCAGAAGAAGTGGCACCTGCTGGCCTGTTCTACTCTTCATTATATACGTGGCTGAACTTGGGGGTGTTTGTGAAGAAAGCCAGAACCGGGAAGGAGATCCACCTAAAGAAACTGGGTCCAAATTTGGAGAATTGGGGACTGTTCCAGGATTTGATAGTAGTGTATTGTTATTGGCAGTTGGTATTTCCAATGGTTGTAAACTCACACCATCGGGCGATGCTGCTATGCTTAGAAGCTGTTGTTGATGTGAATACAGTTGCAGAACTGGTGGAGACATCGTAGCCGACCTTTGGTAAGGTTGTAGTCTCTGTAGATTTGAATACGAAGTTGTTCGTGAAGATTTTGGCATTATAAAGGACAGCTGTTGTTGTTGCTGTTGCTGGTATTGTTGCTCGTTAAATTTCGAAGACATATCTTGATTCAATGAAAGTAGCGAGATGGTTGACGAAGATGGTATTAGCTTCCCATTTAGATCTTTGCCCACGGAGCTAGCCAAGAGTTGCGGTTCAGGATGTTCCGCATACCGTATACCTTGCCTATCATTCTCTTCGTTTATGCACAAAATAGGATGTTCATGAGACATTGGATGATACTCCTGCTGCAGCTGCTGAAAATACATTTCTGGTTGCTGTTGCTGTTGCTGTTGCTGTTGTGGTGATTGTATAGAAGCGCTGAAATTTTTCTCTCCAGCTAGACTAGTTGAAAGTAACGATCGCCTTTGTTGACGTGCATCGGTGTGACTATTCATCAGTGTCAGTTGAAGTGCTAGGCTATTTTTATAGTATTATCGTAGATGAGTTCTTGTGGTGTAAGGCTATATATGCATGTATTGTCGGAGTATGAAGAGAGTAGAAGATTGAATAAAGAAGATTGCAAGAATATACAATACTATTGATAAGCATAAAAAAAATTAAAAAAGGAGAACAAAAGAAAATTTTTTTTCTTCACTTAGGCAGAGTTTATCAAGACAGTAAAAGAAGTATACAGTCTTGCATTACTTCAAGAACTTGACTAACAATAAAGTATAAAAGCGTTTGAAATAGTGTCATGCAGTCTGCTCTAACTGCAGTGTCATCTCTTTCTTTGTTTAGGGGATGCTCGAAAAATAGGAGATGTGAAATTTACGATAACCAATTTATATGCAGTATTGGTGATGCTACCGTCTCGAAAGGGAATAGAAGTAGGCAATATTGGCTTCGCTTTCACAACTGTATACGAGTCTCGTCTTTCATAACAGTATTCATGTTAATGATTCAAGCTATACAAAATCTATCAATAAAATTAATCAGTACGCAAACTTTTATTTCATAATAAATGCATGTTTACCTTAAACATATCAATGCTTTCCATTATCTTCAGGATCAATTTTAAACACTTTATCAGGATTCAATATTCTGTTTGGATCTAATGCCATTTTAATCTTTCTCATCATATCTATTGTATCTTCACCAAGTTCCAATTGTAGGAAAATGCGCTTCGAGTTCCCAATTCCATGTTCACCAGTAGCTGTGCCTTCATTGGCTATACCTAACTCAACCATCTTGTTCAACATCCGCTCAACTTCATCACGTTGATCTTTCTTGTAAAAGACACTTGCATGGAAGTTTCCATCACCTGCATGGGCAACAATTGCTGATTTAAAAGGCGAATCTTCTATCCACCCGTTGATGATTGTCAAAACGTGAGATAATCGAGATAATGGGACGGCAATATCAGTAGGCCACATTCGCACATCTTCATCAATTTCGCTACGACTCCAGCTGGTCAAGGCGTACAATGCATTCTTCCTAGCAGAAAAAAGCTCCTCTTGTTCTTGTTTGTTTCTAGCAAATTTAAAACTAGAAGCATCATTCTCTTTTGTTATCGCTTGTAAAACTTTAACACTTTCTTTCACCACTGTATCGTTTATTCCACCGAGCTTGAAAAGTATTGTAGGCACCTCCATCATTGGTTCACTGGTGTACTCGCCGTAATTCAAACAATGTATCATGTTTGCATCCAAGAATTCAATCGCCGTTGGTNGCTGTATTCCCAGGCGAAACACTTGTGCAACAGTATTTGTAGCATGCGATATCAGGGGAAATTGTACCACAACAACCGATTCACTTTTGGGTTTTGGATACACCTTGACTACAGCTTCAGTAACAATCCCCAACGTGCCTTCGCTGCCAACAAATAAGCTAGTCAAGTTGTACCCAGCCGACGTCTTTCTCGGCCTTTGTCGAGTCTTGACCACGGTTCCATCTGCCAACACTGCCGTCACGGAAATCACGTTAGCAGACATTGCTCCATACCGTGAAGCATTGATACCAGAAGCATTGGTGGCAATCATTCCAGAAATCAACCCCAGCGGTCCACAATCAGTGCCAAACATTAACCCATACGGCTCTAAATCCTCATTGAGCTGTTGCCAGTTGACCCCACATTGAACGACCACATCTAAATCGTTATCGTTGACTGCTAACACTTGATTCATTCGCGA